ATTTTTATTACAATAACACATTCATATAGGGTAAACGCATCATTGAATGGATATTTTGTAACTATTAAAGTCGAATTTTAAACGATAATAATATTAAGAAATATTTGGTACATGAAAATTAGATTTTTTAATGTCTATACCTTTTTATAACGTATAGATTTCAATTGAAAAATGTGAAAAATGTATATTAATTAAGTTGAAAAGAAAAAATACGAAAAGTTTGTTGCGTCAGTTTTAGGGCACTCTGTACACTGACCCATTATATCTCACAAGTGTATGGCAGATGAGACTGGCTCTCACAACAGAGACCAGTAAAGAGTAAGCCCTTGAGAGTTCTACTCCTCAAGAGTGAAAATGACATTTACTGAAGAGTAAGCTGCCTACTGTTGCTTTTAGCTCTGTATCTACCAGTGAATTCTACATATTCTAGATAGTAATACTCCCAAGTTGACTGAAGATCTGTCTTGAAACTGAAGATTCTCTATCGACAATTAGCTCTATACACTATAATGCGATGGAGGCGTAAACACGATTACAAAGGAATAATCGTTTTAGCTCGGTTATAGAGAAGAAATAGAGTACTCTATTTCAATACCTCGTGGAGAATGTGGTTGTCCAGGTGATCAAAGCGACAGCTATTGGAGAGTGTGCTCTCCATCTACTGTCGCTCGCAGGTCTATGTCCACATGTGAATTCTATTCTGGATAATAACACGCTCGAATCAACATATAGCATAAAATTGGGGGCTCGATTATCGTCAGTCTTCCCCATAACGCGGATATGGCGACACGGTTTCCGAGATATCATCACGGCTTGACTATAGCAAAGAAACATAGTTTTTTTTTTACCCAGTAGGTATTGGAATCTGATATAGACTGATATTATAGAATCTGATCATCCACTTAATCGAAGTTTCGCTCACGATACGGCTAATGACGTATTAACAGATGATCACCGTACATACCACTCGGAATTATTTCTTTTTTTTTTTTTTTTTCGAAATATTTCAATCGTTTCATAACTGGTCATCGCCTCAGTATCGAGATTAGATTGCCATCGTTACGTCAATACAGGGTCCTTCAGTGGGTCTGCCGAGAAGTTCCTCTTCGAACGTGGAACTTTCCTTTTATTTCTCTCTCTCTCTTCATCCAACAGCGTTCATCGGAATGTGTTGCAGCTCAAAGCGCTCGCAAAGGTACATACAGGTATATTGGACGGGAATTTACCGTCCTAACAACGTTTCGTTGTCCGACGATCAACTGATCGGCCTTGACACTGATCGAAATAGCCCGACGAAGGAATCTCTCGTGTAAGGAACCTCGTGCATAAATTAGACGCGACGAGTTTGGAGATAGAATTGACCTCCTTTCCGTCCTAATTCTGGTGCCTTAACTGTAACGACGATCACCAGGAACAGTATACAGGGTGTCCCAGACTAGGTTTAAGTCTTTGAAAAGGGTGCTTCCCAGGGTGATTTGAAACAACTTTTTCCTTAGAGAAAAAGTTCTCCGAGATAGATCGATGGATCGATAGATCTTGTGTGTTTTCATCGGCGTCTGTCACAATCGCACACTTTTTAAAATTCTAATTCTTTCAATTCTATAATAGACAGAAGTTGAAATTTACGAAATGATTGTCTCTCTCCTACATCGCGTATACATACACGGTTCCCGTTGATTGTGTGAGTGCACGGATACAGTGCACAGGCCACAGAGTCTCCCCCCTATATTTTTCTACAAAAAGATACTAGAGGCACACTACTTAACAAAAGGAATTATCGAAATTACAATTCTCATTGTATTAATAATTGTCAGTGTATTTTGTTCACTCCAGATTTTTAGGTGACTTCGAAAAATGCTACAATCGTGTCCACTGCTCTCTATAGTATCGTAGCCAGCCCCAAACGGTGCATATGCCTATATGTATAGTGAAGTACCTGTAACTTAGTTTCCCTCTAGTGTTCTAACACCTTTTCTAATATATATTTTATAGATGTTCAATATATATTTTATAATATATTTTCCGGTCTATTCAATTCCTTAGAGGGAATAGTTAATATTCCTGTCGGCAATAAACCTCATTCAAGCTTTCCGAAAAAAGTAGAAGTTCATTAAGCTGAAAGGAAATTATAGAAATTTCGATTCTCGTTGCATTAACAGTTTATAATGCATTTCGTTCGTTCGAGATTTTTACTTCGTACGAAGCGAAGGTAGCTTCGATGGTCGACACTTGGCTGGACGCACACTGGGCTACCGAGGTAGTTGTATGAGCTTACGCTCGCGGATGAGAAACCTAAACGCAATCTTGTTAGTGAACTTTGTATTCCATTAGTGACCGACAACAAACGATGTGGGTACTTACGGGCAGTTGCTGTCTGTGAAAGGGTGTAATTGACCGTCCTCGAAAAGCTTTGGGGTTCACGTACTGCGATTAAAGACCGTCCCCAGATCGACCGTTATCATTATTTCTGGATCGGGACCCGTGTATGTATGCATTGTATACAGGGTGTAACAAAAATGCTGGAGGACTCGGAAATAGAAGACTCGTGAGGTGATTTGAAACAGGTTTTTCCTTAGCAAAAATGTTATCCGACGCTTTGTTAACGAGATATTAACGAAAAAACAATCAAAAATTGGCCGACAGACTGACGCTCCGATTGGTCGGGGTTTTTCTTTAATATCTCGTTAACAAAGCCTCGGATAACATTTTTGCTAAGGAAAAACTAGTTTCAAGTAATCTCTCGAGTCTCCTATTTCCGGGTCCTCCAACATTTTTGTTACACCTTGTATGTATGTTCCTCTTGCCTATCTTATCATTGGTCGACCTGCCGTAGTTGTGTTTCACTGTTTCTGGGAGACATTAATTCCGCGATCGATAGGGTAGCTTCACTCTTCCGACCGGCTTTCGAGCGAGCTTTTATCGTTGGAAAATAATCCTCGATTCTGTTTCCGAGCGTATACTCGAGTCGATTCTTAGATATCGACGTTCAGTAAAATGAATAGCACGGAAACGTCAGCTTTCTCTGGTTAATGGTAAAGCTTGCTCCTGCATTTAACGGGAAATTGTTTTTTTTTTTTATCTGTAGACGTTCCTTAATACACTTCTATATTTAATAAATTGATTCTTCTTCCGTGAATAGGAATCGATACAGATAGGAACATTTTGTTCCTAAGATTTTTGGAAACTGTCTCTATACGAAATGCTGGACGATAATATAGTAAATTTTGATTGGTTTCGAGCGTCTATTAATGTTATTTATATCGAGGTTGTTTAGATATAGTTGCTGACTGAAAACTACTAGCAGTTAGATATTATAGTTTGGTGATTAGTAACCGAGTACAGATAAAGCATTACGTAAATGTAGAATAAAAAATGTCGTTAGTAGTTGAAGTAATTTTCAATGAAATTTTCGATGTATTTTAAGTGAAAATCAAATTTTAAAAGGGTTATTAAAGATAGGCATCAAAGGTTTCTTTTCAAAGTGTACACCACTAATTATGATTATCAATGCTTGACACCTGGTCTTTCAAAGTACCTTTTTCACTATTAAACCTCTTTAAAAACATGATGAACTTGTTAGCCGTAGCACGTACAACGAAACTACAAGAAAAAATCATTCAAATCAGTTATTAAAAAACTCAATGAAAGCGGAGTTTCTGAATATCACACGAAACCAACATTTTCATGCATTAATTAAATCCTGTTTCTCTCCATTCCTTTTTCGATCCGGTTAGTATTCTTCTTAGTTGCAGGCAAATTTTTAACGACCCCTTGACGTCGTAGTATATCAACATTTATGCTGGAGAAGTTCCTTGACCTACCGAGTTACCCCTGTGCGTTACGCTATAATTTATAGCGTTCGGAGTGGCACTCTGGTGGCGTGAATAAGATACCGTTTCTCCGGTATAGTTGTTTACCGTAAGACCTTGGGGACCCAGAACCCTGCACTGTTCTTATATTTTGAAAGACGAAAGCCCCCAACGTCACTTCGCCGCGTTACAGCCCCCGGGCAGAACACGACCTGCCCCAATATCGATTTACACGTTGCTTTCATCTCACCTGTACTGACGGATTTATATGACGGTCGTTTCCGGGACAATTTCGTCCATCGTGGAATAGTCTTCCACGAAACAAAACTAGAACCACCGTGTATTTGGTGTATGGAAAAGTAATGGCTGTCACATTTAAGCAGACTGAATTCGACTTTTGATCGAAAAATGGCAAGAGCACGGAAAATGACGGGAGCTGTTTTGAGTAACAGTTGTAAGAATTGTTTAATATTGGAAGCGATTTTTTTAAGGAAAGAAAGTCTTTTTGCATGCACGTGATACTACTTAACCCTTCGTTGTCATATTAAGTCAAATTGACCTAAAATTTAACTTCGAAGTAAAATATGTATATTTGAGGTACCATTGAAAATGGTACTACTGACGCCATTTTGTGGTAATTTCAAATATCCTAAAAACCTTTTTTCAGAATTTTGTTTTCAAGAATTTTTGAGACATGAAACTTTCAATGTTAATTTTTAACCATGAAAATACAATCTACAATGTTTAAATTTCATCTGGGAGTTTTCTGCGACTTAATTTAACAAATGATTTTTAAACAACAGCTGATTGATTATTGGATTAAGTGTAATTGACCCAGTGTGATAACTACGTTTGAAAACGGACGTGTGACGGAGTGTTAATACAGTTTCCTACTTTGTCTCTGTAGAATATGATAAAGTATGATAGGTGGACATAATGGCAAGTAATTCAGGTATTCGAGTAACTTGAGAAAGATCAGTATTTTTCTAGTGGTAAATATTTCTATATTATATTCTATACATACATCTATAATGGTAAATAATACTAAATGGTAATAAATGTAAATTTAGTATTGTTAATAGTTTTTATAATAAATTTGAAGAAATTTAAGTTTCTCTTAAGAAATTTTCAAGTGAAAGTACTTAATTTATTGGCAGTCGTGAATTTAATTCCTGTTCAATTCGTTTTCAGATTGGTGGACGACAGATGCGTGGTATGTCCCGAAGCTGGAGATTTATCAACTCCGCCAAAGAAGTTCAGAGGTAATTTCTACATCAACTGTCGTTATAAAATTTCTATTTCGTGTCAGATCTATATTTAATTCTTTAACTGGAACGTGTGTATTAACTCTCGCAAAAACGTCCGTATTTTGCGAATTAAAGAATACATTTTTGCAGTAGAATTCCTCGAGACATTGCATCCATTCCACTTAATTAACATTGGTCTTTGTGATGGTTTTCAGATTGCCTCTTCAAAATATGTCCCATGAATCGATATTCTGCTCAAAAGCAATTTTGGAAGGCCGCGAAACAAAGCGCGAGCGGTACCGATGCCGTGCTGCTCAAAAGACTTCACGTAAGTTAATTTTCCACCTACATGCAGTAATTCCCGCTTAATGGACGCAGGCTCAGGTACTCTTTGCGACAGTTATCCGAGGAACTAGCTGTTTTAGGAATTCCTGGTTGTGAGAAACATTGAATGCGAGTGAAATGGAGAGAAAGGTTCGAACTTGGAATTGGTGGGTATATCTTTGCATGGATTAAACGGGGAACCAATGCGTCTATTAAGCGGGGACTACTTTATTTTGAACTCACATTGAATTTTCCGTTACTAACTATAAAAAAGATTTCTCCAAATGCACTGAAATAAATCTGGACCCCAGAGCCAGAGTGTATTAAGTGATACTTTTCAAACTTTAGAGGAGAGCAAGTCAAAGGTACGAAAGCCTTGTAAGTTTGGAACCATTGAATGAAATTTTTATTATAAATAAAGCGTTTATTATAAATAAAGCTCAATAGTGATCTGTTTATGTGATCGATATAAATTTATATTTTTATATTGTATTATGAGTTTCTGTCATTTGAAATTGGTATTATGTACTTCCAGCATGCCGCCGAAATCGAAAAGAAGCAAAACGACACTGAGAATAAGAAACTGCTGGGCAGCGTGGTCTCCTATGGCAACGTCGTCCAGGTAAGTTACTCTTATTTTTCCAACATTTTTCTGTATTTTTACATTGCCCCAGTTACGCGAACGTGAATTAATTTACCTTGTGCTTCACGCCCGAGAAGGTCATTTATGTAAGCTTTATACCACAAGGATACTCCCTTTCACGCGAACTTGCGGTGAAAAAAAAAATTGTAACAGAGAAATAAATAATTTTGACTCGTAGAACAAAGTATACAGATATTAAATCTTTCAATACAAATAAGATTACGATTGTTTGTGTTTATAGAATAGAATACTTGATTTTCATCGTTGTAGGCGGTACAAATTGTATAGTTATAATTTAAATCTGTGTAAATCTGTTTCGTAATACAGTTGATCGATCTTGTATTAGAAATTATTGAAATTTATGCCAAATTAACATTCGGTTTAACATTTATTTCAGTAGTTGAAATAAATTTATCAAGTGGTGGGAGGCCTTTCCATTTAACGTTTTAACTATTTTAACGTTTCATTAAAAAACTAAGGTGACTGTAGTCAATGCAGTTCGACCAGAATGACGCCTAACTGAAAAATTGCTGTACATAAACATATTCATGGTTTACACTAAGCCTACCGAACCCTCCAGAAAGATAGGAATTAGAACGGTAAAACCGATCATTTTACCTAACCCATATTTGGAATCATAGTCGTGTGAAAGGCTTGAGGTTCCATAACGTTTTAAATACAACATAGAAACCATCTATAAATTCTATCATACCTCAAACTAAACTTTTGCAATTCCTGTCCCATACGATATGTATAAAAATCCTCAGAAATTCGCGCTTTTTAATCTAGCAGATAGTCATTTCCGGAACACTATGCATTTTTCGAGCTACTAGAGGGGCCTGATTTCCTGGTCGTTTACGATTTATCGCGAAAGCAACACGGAACACATGATAAGCGATCGTCAATTATCAGAATCTACTTCCTCTCTGGTACCGTCGTCGTTGAACAGCTGCGGGAGGCTTGGTCGCGGCGAGGTTCCTCTTTCAAACGGATGACTGGAATCTCTCGCGAGGTCGTGACTTTAATTGCATATTGTTTTAAGAGTATGATCGAATTATTAATTACATTGGCGGTGCCATTATTGTCAACAAGGGAGGGGATGACATTACCGCCAAGTGATAGCCGGTACTCGTGTATTTTGCAGAGGCGAAAGATCGTCCCTTGAAACGGAAGAGGCTGGGAAAGCCATTAGTCGTCTAATTAGCGTGATGTAATCATGCAGCGGGGGGGATCTTTGTCGAAATATCGGGGTATTACGTTAGTTCCCACTTTATCAAGGAATTATGGTCTACTTTAGAAGTTAACGCACTGTGAGGGGACCGCTGACTTAATTCTGATCCAACTTCGTTGTTCCTTTTAGATCCAGGTCTGTTATCTGAATCAGTGTGATTTTATTGACTTTAATCTTGAACGTATTACTTAGCTCATAGGAATCTTTTTGTTTGATCCTGCCACTGCCCACGGTTCAGATATAGATTTAGCGTAACAGTGAAAAGAAGGGTATTAGTGACAACACTTTTCATAATTTTCTTAAATTTAGAAAATTAACATATTGAGCTCTATCTCATTTGATACCATTGACCTTGATTTCAATTGCTTAATCTGTGCTGTTTCGTTGACCTTTAAGATATTGACATTTGAACTCGTTATTTATTTTACAGACACGTTTGTTACTTTGTCTAGTTGTACCTTAGATGTAACGAGAACATGGAAGCTTTTCTTTTCATCCTCTGTTTAAGAAATTCTCAATGGATTTGCTACATGACATGAATCCCATTTCAGCTCTTGCATCTTAAGTCTAACAAATTCTTGACCGTCAACAAGAGGCTACCGGCGCTTCTCGAGAAGAACGCGATGAGAGTATACCTGGACGCGAATGGGAACGAGGGCTCCTGGCTCTACATAATGCCCTTTTACAAGCTGCGCAGCGACGGCGACAGCGTCGTCGTCGGTGATAAAGTGATTCTGGAGCCGGTGAACGCTGGTAGACAGGGTATACACGTGGCGGCGAACTACGAACTCAGCGACAATCCGGGTTGCAAAGAGGTGAACGTGGTGAACACAGCTACCTCCTGGAAGGTGACGCTGTTCATGGAGCACAGAGAGAATCAGGAAGAGATCCTGAAAGGTGGAGACGTGGTTCGGTTGTTCCACGCTGAACAAGAGAAGTTCCTTACGATGGATGAATATAAGAAGAAGCAACACGTGTTTCTGAGGACCACTGGCAGAACCAGTGCGACCGCGGCTACGAGTAGCAAAGCCCTGTGGGAGGTTGAGGTGAGATATCAAGTGCAAGTTTTACTCTGATCACTGAATCCACTGAATTAAATACTCGTAATATGGTACCAGTATCCAGCTTGATGTCTTGGAATCCAGTTAATTTTAAAGTGTTTCTAGTAATTTTAAGTTTCTTGTTAACTTTATTTATAATAATATAAAATGATAATTTTCATTTATAAAAATGTAGTCGAATGTATCGGCCATAGTTGCTAGAACTTTTCGGTTAATTTGTAATCATCCCGTATTTGATGAGTTACCACTTTTCTTTGCAGGTAGTGCAGCATGACCCATGCAGAGGAGGCGCTGGTCACTGGAATTCTCTTTTTAGATTTAAACATTTAGCGACAGGTCAATACTTGGCTGCTGAAATAGACACCGACGAACCGCGTGAAACCATAAAAGGCAAACGTGGTAAGATATATAGATGTATGTAAATGTTGCCAACGGTTATCTACAAGAGTTTCACATGTTTTTGTAAAACTAGTGTACTGCATACCACACAATGTCGGTTATTGATGTTTGATGTAGAGTGTCCAATAGAAATCCGTCCAATATTGCCGTTTGTTTATAATGTATTAAAAACTTAATTGTGATACATTCCTATTTCATTTGTAGATCCCCCTGGGCCAGTGTTTAGATTAGTATCAGTTCCACACAGTAACGAAATTAGTTCATTGTTTGAACTGGATCCAACAACATTAACCAGGGGTGATAGTTTAGTACCTCAGTCGTCTTTTGTTAGGTTACACCACATATGTACAAATACTTGGGTTCACTCGACAAGTGTACCAATTGATAAAGATGACGAGAAACCTGTTATGTCAAAGGTATCCTGCATTAACGATATATTACTATTATTATTGGTATCACGTTATTAATGGCAGTTGTATAATTTCAATGAAATGAAATTTGTATGCAAGGTGGGCTGTGCTATTAACAAGGAGGACAAAGAAGCGTTTGCTTTGAGGTCTGTGTCACCTGTAGAAGTGCGAGACCTCGATTTTGCGAACGATGCCTGTAAGGTGTTAGCTTTAATAAGCGGTAAACTGGAAATAGGCACAATTTCCCACAATGAGAGGCGAGCTGTGACTAGTTTACTGCAGGATATAGTGTATTTCATAGCTGGATTAGAGAACGAGCAGAATAAATCTGAAGCATTAGAGTTAATTGTTACCAATGCTGTAAGGGACCGACAGAAGTTATTGAGGGAACAATACATACTTGGTCAATTGTTTAAAATACTTCAGGTATTATAGTTTCGCTTCAGCATAGACGTTTGTATTTTACAATTCGTCTATCTTTAAGAATTTGATTCGTAGGCTCCGTTCTTAGAGTCTGCGGAAGGCGAGGGACCATTCCTTAGAATAGAGGAACTGAATGATCCAAGGCATGCACCATACAAATACATGTTTCGTTTGTGTTACCGAATATTAAGACTTTCTCAACAAGACTACAGAAAGAATCAGGTATCATGACTTTACAGTAGGTGTAGTTCTTCGTGTTATTAATGTAAACGCTTACGTTAATTCTTTTGTTATAGGAATATATTGCCAAGCACTTTGCTTTCATGCAAAAACAAATTGGATATGATATCCTAGCGGAAGACACTATCACTGCACTCTTGCATAATAATAGAAAATTGTTAGAGAAACACATCACAGCTGCAGAAATCGAGACGTTCGTGGGTCTTGTGAGGAAGAATATGCACAATTGGGAATCGAGATTTTTAGATTATCTGTCGGACTTATGCATCTCTAATAAAAAAGCAATAGCAGTGACTCAGGAGCTGATTTGCAAGAGCGTATTGAGTGAAAAGAATAAAGACATACTAATAGAAACTAGGTAAAGGAAATACTTTCAGTGAATACTGGTTGGTTTATTGCTACATGCTGACATTACAAATTTTCTAGAATGATGAAAACTCAGGTTGAGGTGGAAGAACTTGATGAAAAGCAAGAAAATGGTGAACCACAAATTACTGTCATGGAGGAACTCGAAGTATTTCTTTTATGGAACAATGAAATGGTTAGCATCTCTATATTATTGAATTGCGGATTTATAATTTGTTTGAAGTTTTCAAAGTTTTCGATATTATTCATAGAAGTCAATGTCATTGAATGAATTATCAAGGGGAGCAAGACTGGGCAGTGTTCAAGATGCAGCAATATTAGACTACTATAGACATCAATTAAATCTTTTTAGTAATATGTGTCTGAATAGACAGTATCTAGCCTTGAATAATTTATCACCTCATTTAGATATTGGTCTTATACTCAAGTAAGTTAGATACGTTTTATTTTCAAAGCGTTTACTTTAACACTGATATATAAAATAAAATTTTCATTCGAAATTTAGGTGTATGGAAGATGAAACAGTGCCGTACGAATTGCGTGCATCATTTTGTCGACTCATGTTACACCTTCACGTTGATAGGGATCCGCAGGAGCAAGTTACTCCAGTAAAGTATGCACGTCTGTGGTCTGAAATTCCTTCAAAAATGAGTATCAACGAGTACGTGAAAATGAAACATTGCGTAACATACGAATAAATTGTATACATTCCGAAAGACTTATGGAACGCATTGTTTGATTTCAGTTACGATGCAAACAGAATGCGGGATCAAAATAAAGAAGTTGTTTGGGCTAAATTTAGCTCGACTATAATGTTTGTAGAAGATTATTTGTGTAACGTTGTTGCAAAAATGTGGTCTTTCGCAGACCAAGAACAGAATAAACTTACGTTTGAAGTAAGAATAATAAATTCTATTCAAAACACATATTGTTCTTCAAAGATCGAAGTTGTTTAATTTTGTTAAATATTTTTAGGTCGTCAAACTGGCACGCGATCTAATATACTTCGGATTCTACAGTTTCAGCGACCTTTTAAGACTAACGAAAACATTGCTATGCATTTTGGACTGTATTTCGGAAAATGATGCCTCGGAAAGGAAAATTCCAACTGGTGATATTGATTGTAAGTGGATAAATTATATAAGAATGTAATATTTATTTGTACATACACTAATTTCCTAGACTGTATATATCGTGTGTATAATAGAATACCAAATTTTCACATTGCAATACAAAATGTACTTTTGCACTTCAACCTACCCTATTAAAATAACACATTCCAAATAGTATCCACACATAATTAACTCATCTGATGAAACAAGCACACATATAAATAATGCACATATCAATGTAATTAACTGATTTGTTCTGAAAACTTCTAAAGCTGATTCTGCGGATTCTGAGGAAACAGGTAATGCATACCACTGAAGTAATGAAAGTTGCAAATCATTTATGAGACTGACTTAAATCCATTACTAAGTTGATTTTTTAATTTACATTATAATTTCCACGTGGCAATAGTTGTATTTGTATTTATTTTATTGAACAACACGTAACTTTTTTATCTACATATTCTGTATTCAATATTTATTAGTATGAATATTTTATTACATTTTTATATAGTAGATATCATACTTCATTTATTTCATTTAGTGTTAACAGGTTTATTTAGTTCCTATTTATGTAAATATATGTATATACATACTTTGAATATAATACTATAGAAGTAAATTATGTGTAAGAACTATTATGTGATATAAAAACATAGTAAAGGGTGTTTATTACATTTTCAATAGCTGAAGGTGGAGTTCTGAGATGTATCGGAGATATGGGAGCAGTAATGACAAGCTTAACATTGGGTTCAGCTGGACAAGTATTGGGCGGAAGTTCGTCTCCTATGCCGAAACCACTCTCACAGAAAGAATACCCGTTGGTGATGGACACCAAGTTGAAAATAATCGAAATTTTGCAATTTATTCTTGACGTTCGATTGGACTATAGGATTTCTTGTTTATTAAGCATTTTCAAACAAGAATTCGACGAAACCGAACGAGCCTCCGGTGATTTGAGTCTCGGCCAAAAAAATATCGATTTGGAACTAATTGGTACCCAAGCAGAGGGTATATTCGGAAGCAGGTAACACTTTACCCACTGTTTCTGTTTTAATGTTAAAGAATTACTTCATAAATTGTGCAATTTAGTGAGGAGTGTGTAGCGTTAGATTTGGATGGTCAAGGTGGCAGGACATTTTTGCGTGTTTTACTCCATTTGGCGATGCACGACTATCCACCATTAGTTTCCGGAGCCCTACATTTGCTCTTCAGGCATTTTAGTCAACGGCAAGAAGTATTACAAGCGTTTAAACAAGTATGTTATTTTGTGTTAGATATTACAAGTAAGATAACAAAGTAAAAACTGTATCGAAAACAAACAATATGGAAGATATTTTTTGTTATAAATAGGTACAACTGTTAGTTTCGGATAGCGATGTCGAGTCTTATAAACAAATTAAATCGGATTTAGATGTTTTACGCCAGTCGGTCGAAAAATCGGAACTTTGGGTGTACAAATCGAAAGCAGCAGAAGAACATGGTGGCAAGAAAAAGAAAAATAAGGAAGAAGAAGATGACGGAGCCACTCCACGGAAAACACCGCCTCAATTAACAACATCAGACAAGAAAGGTAATAATAATATTTGCCTAAGGATAAACTTATAAAGTAAAATGTTAAAAAGAGATATTTATTAACAAGAAAAATGATTTCTGAAATTGTAGGATCTGCAATAGATTTAGACATTGGTCCTCCACTACACGCGGACCAGGCAGAAGAATATAAAAAAATACAACAAATACTGATTCGCATGAATAAACTATGTATACAAACGATAGGTGGTCAGCTAAAACCTCGGAAACACGAGCAAAGACTTTTACGCAACGTTGGTGTACACACTGTTGTGTTAGATTTATTACAAGTTCCATTTGACACCAAAGAGGATGTTAGAATGAACGAGTTAATGCGATTGGCACATGACTTTCTGCAGAATTTCTGTTTGGGTAATCAACAAAATCAGGTTTTGTTGCATAAACAACTAGATTTATTTTTGAATCCTGGCATACGTGAAGCTCAAACTGTGTGTAGCATTTTTCAAGACAATTCTACTTTGTGCAATGAAGTAAGCGCTAAGGTTATACAGCATTTCGTGCACTGTATAGAGACTCATGGAAAGCATGTACAGTATCTAAAATTTCTTCAAACGGTAGTTAAAGCTGAGAATCAATTTATCAGGAAATGTCAGGAAATGGTATTTTTGTGGAAATGATGCGATCTGAAAGGCATAGGATGGATGAAAGTAGTCCCTTAAAGTATGTATCTTCTGTAGACATAATAAGCAAATATCTTTGTACCTTTAGATTGTACATTTTATTAGACACTTTCTATTATTGTTCATTCTAGGTATCATGTGGAATTGGTGAAATTATTGGCTTGCTGTACAATGGGTAAAAATGTCAATACTGAAATTAAATGCCATAGTCTATTACCATTAGATGACATTGTTGTTATGGTATCGCACCCAGACTGCATACCAGAAGTAAGTTTCATGCTGACCATGTATCTGTCTTTATGAATTGTATGCTCTGCAACGTGTATATACTATTTTTAGGTTAAAGAAGCATATATAAACTTCCTAAATCATTGCTATATTGACACAGAAGTGGAAATGAAAGAAATTTATACATCAAATCATATGTGGTCGTTGTTTGAAAAGTCTTTTATTGTAGACATGGGTATAATAGCTACTGCCACGCATGATCGTGAACACGCTGATACGGCTCTGGAAAATTATGTGACAGGTTGCCTAATGAATATCATTACAACGTTCTTTAGCAGTCCATTTTCAGATCAAAGTACTACAGTGCAGGTACAGTATTTATTCATAACGTTCTTTTAAGCGAGAATTATAGTTTCTACTTTTTCTATATTGTCTACATGAATACATATATGAAATTTACGGTGTAGTCAGTACAGGCCTACTACAGAAATGTTTAAAGTAACGTCAATATTTATGTGGTGGATATGGCACCTTTTTTGAGTATGTGAGCACTTTGATTTACATACATGAATATTTACAACATTGAAAAAAGACATTTCTTACTAAATGTATTTATGCAATCTACATTAAAGCACAAATTATTCATACTTTCACATAATATCATGTTTTATCGTTTATTACATGAGAAACGAATATTTTTAATTTACAATTTTCACAACTTTTTATTTTTACATATGGAGAAATTATTTTCTATCTATAAAAAAATATAATTATACGCGATAATTATATATTATTATAATAAAGCTGCTTCTACCTCCTTAAAGAGATTGCTATAATTTTACGAATGTGAAATCTGAAATAATTTGAACTCAAACATTTATTGTGTTTCATTACATAACTGAAGTGCATCGAAATGGAGGTAATTAATAGTAAAGAATATGAAATCATTAGTTTCAACTAATGTAAGAACTTGAACTTTGTACTTATGTAGAACAAATTTAAATAAGCATATATGAGTCGTTCAACAGTAGATCGAAAGTATAATCGTAATTATAAAAGTACTTCCAAATGAATAACTGAAATATCAGATACATTTATAGTACCAGTACAATTAAATAAATTGCCACACAGTAGGCATAAGTAACATAACTGACACATACTTAATTACGTGTAAAGTTGTGCAAAAATACTCTGTCGTTTATTTTATCTGATGATTTCTTGCTTTGCATGAAGAACACATTAATTTAAGTTTCCTTATGAACCAAGTACATATCACAAACATATAGAGACATTAGCATTTATTTATGTACACTTATTTTATTTTGTTTTCTCGTCGATATATATTTTATGTTTCTTTTCATTTATTGCGCCTATTGTGGTACGGTAGGCCAGAATGTATCGCAAATTGATTACCGTAATGGTAATATAAACATTGATGTGTGCTTGGTAATTGGTGATTGCATCAGCGGCATGTTCTGTGTTTTTGGCATGCTACACCTGGCCTCTTCTTTGACTCGTCAACATTGGTTTACTGGGTCTGTGTGCTGGGTCTATATGGTGGTGGGTTGATTTACTAATAGAAACATCTGCACGAGGCTAGACTATATTGGAGCATCAAGGAGAGTGACCGGAATACTGATAATAATCTTACTGGCTATGTGAGTATCCAGTTAAAAAATGCTCAATCAATTAGGAGCACTTGTAAATACACAGTAATACTAACATGATACATGGTGACATGATACTAGAGAATGATGTTAGTTCGAAAATTTAAAAGTAAGGAATAGATCTCAGCAATATGTTTTCTATTGTACATACATGTATTCTGTAAATTCAGAATATTTCTTGTATATGTCTTTCTGTACAATACAATGACATGAACATATAAAGGACAATAGCAAATTAAAAGTAGAAGCTTACGTATGCTCCATTCACAATGAAAGGTTTCAACTATTTACAAATTCTGGTTTGCGTTTCTATAAAATTACACTGACACATTCACTGTCCTTAATTAAGAAATTATAAGCTTGATGTTCGAATTATCCGAAATACTAACCATAACTCTTCTAATATGTATTACATATATCATATATGGTTTATATGTTACATCAAAAAGTTCCTATTCTTTTGTACTTCCTATAGCATGAATCTATGACTCAATATTTACAAATTTCTTTAATAGACTTGCTTGGCAATGAGTGTGTTACACCGAATGCAAGGAATAACAAAACTAATATAAAATTTCTAATAAATAAAAATGAATGCATACTTCCATACACTTTGGGTTCTACTAAAATGGGTTCTGTGTTTAAGGGCTTAGTTTATACACGAAAACATAAAAATAATACATACATTTTTTATATTGTATTTATGAATCTAGGATAATGTAGATATTTTACTGTTCTTTACAAATATTAATAGAAATTGTGGATTTTCAAAACAGACACGACAACCCATATTCGTTCAGCTGCTACACGCAGCTTTTAAAGTGTCGCAATGCTCGTGGCTAAATGCTGGTCAAAGGTTTAATGTAGAAAATTGTATAAGGACATTGTCCGATGTAGGTAAGTCAATATTACTATTAGCATTATGGTACTAAAGGCATTAATATTCGAATCAAATAATGTTTCTCATAACTCCATTAAAAAATACACTTTGTTTAATATATTAGCTAAAGGTAGAGGGATAGCCATTCCAACTGATCTGGAAAGCCAGGTTGCTTCCATGTTTAATAAAGCGGCAATGCTCAGTAGACAAACAAGCAAATGGCTTCAAGCTGCTAAACAACCGAAAATAGAACGTACTCAAAGCCAGGTAATGATACATATTATTTCGAAGTTATTTTTGTATTCAAATGGTGTTAGTTTAAAGATGAAATATATAATCAATTTATAATAGATCCAATCTTCAAATATCTAGAGTGACTTAAATGATGAGGATACTAAAAATGAGGTAAAGGTCACTCGTAAGAATTTAGCACTTTGCTAGTTTGATATAGATATGCAATTTTAGTGCTTTAAACTTAATAATGATATACAATGTAGTGTAGAATTGCTAAAGAATATGAATGTATTACATATAATTGAAATAGAGGAACACTAATATGTACTGCATTGCTAAACTATTAGAGTCTTTAATTGAACTTTATTTAAAGAGTATTTTAATTTTACCTTTTGTTTTTGTATACGATAAAATTTCTAAAAAAAAATCTAAAAATGAGATATTGCTAGTGTCTAATTGTGGGACTAGTAATCATTATAAAAAATGGGTTGTATTATAGAAGCAGCGATTATTTATGTACGGAATCACTACAGAGTACAATGTCTTTTTATTTAGCTAATGCGTTTGGATCGAAGTATCATTGAAGGTTTACAAGACATAGTGTCATTACTGGAAGAACAGTTGAAACCGTTAGTACAGTCAGAATTATCTTTATTAGTGGACATTCTCTATCGACCAGAATTATTGTTTCCAGCAGCAACTGACGCGAGAAAGAGATGTGAAAATGGTGGCTTTATTCGAAGGTAATTACTTTCCATACATAAAATTGTATTAATATATCCTAATATACATGATAAGTTAATAAATCTTCTTTTTTAGATTAATTAAACATACAGAAAAGTTACTTGAAGAGAAAGAGGAGAAATTATGTGTAAAGGTGTTAAGGACTCTCAGAGAAATGATGGCCATTGACCCTGAATATGGCGAAAAAGTGAGTTTTACAGAATTGTGTTCTGCATGATGTTACAAGGATCATTACCATACAGAAAAAACACAACATTGTGGAAAAGGGCATTCAGTTGTTTCTGAGGAAATGTTATTGATATTAATTAACGGTGACGAACCCTCCAAACATTCGCGGTTTATTGAATCATTATTTCCGTAATATACATTACTTGTACAAACACAAATGTATCATGTAATCTCTGTGACTACACTATGTATGGATAATTTTACATGCATTACAGCCATATTATTCTAACAGAATTTTTTGTCAGATGCTGTAAAGAATATTCTAGCAGAATAATATTTATTTATATAAGCCTCTAGACATGTAAACAAATGTTTATGTAGTTTTATTATCTCAGAGATAGAATTATGAAGGAAATAATTATGTCTTCATGAATTTATCGTAAACCAGTTTTAAAAAGCATGTCCTTTTCGAGGAAGATTCGTCACCGTTAATTAGCACCGCACCTTTGATTGAAGATGTTACTGTTCCAAGTTCTAGTTGAACCTAAAAGTATACGAAAATTTGTGTCTCCGTATCCACTTGTATTTTACATGTTCGCCGAAAAGCTAAATGCCCATATGTTTCACGACGCTTTAGACGATCAGTACGCAATATATACATATCAAAGTTTCCTTAGTTGGCAACATAGAGATCGCAAATAAGATAAAACGCAACAAGCTTTTCTGAATACATCATAGAGAGTTAAATTACAGTGGGTGAGTAGGTTTCGTAGAATAGATATGTAGGTAAAGATGTTTTCATGCTGCGAACGAAGATCGAAGGTGTCTTGGAAGAAGAAGAAACTGAACAGAAGACCGAGCCACAAGTTGGAACAGGCTCTGTCGATGAGTCTGAAACTCGTCATATGACTCAGCAAGAGCGGGTAAAAATTAAAAGTAGATAACAACGGTAATTTGTGGGCACAACGTATATAAATTGGCAATATCAATTTGATTTTTATAACTAACAGTTTTTCTCACCATCACTCTACCGTTATTTATTATATTATATACCGCGTGAATCATAAGATACGATTTTAATAAAAATAAATGAATTTAATAAAAAACGGTGTCTTCTCAAAGCAGTTTTTTTTCTAAGTTAAGAAGACATTGATGTTCTTCGAACAATATTATATTTTCATCCCTTATATGATGTAGTTAACATATTAAACTGAATTCATTCGTGTATAGTCATGTGCTAAGGTCATTTATGGTATATGCTTAAATTCTTCTTGATGTAAACTACAACATGTAATATGTAAAACTATACACCAACGTGTATAACGACATCAATAGCTTTTTAATAAAGGCAAAACAATTTCGAGAAAAAATAATAAGGTTTTATGTTTGTGTCTCGAAACAATGCAACTTTTGGTGTGTGCATTTCTTTTTGTGTTTGTTAATCCACAAGAGATACTCGGGTGCTCTATTTCTTATAATTCACGCTGTATATTTATACAATCTCTCATATTGAACATCTTTAATTATTACACGCGTATATACACGCATAAGATGTCCGGCTGATGAATGAAAAGTCTGTACATGTATTTTGTTATTGAAATTGCAGTAAATATTTTCCGATTTTATAAAATATGCATATTTAAATACACTTTATTATTTGGTGTTTGTAAAGATATGACTTTGTTGAATCACGGGATACAATCAACAAAATTTATTGAAGTACAAGAACGATGTACGTTGTGTGGGTACCTTGTGCATGTGCCTGATTAATTTTCTTACATTCACTTAAATTCGTGCTCTGCTTTTTACCTTATCTTCTCTTGTTACCTTTTCTAATGAACATGGCGTAAGCATAGATTAGATATTAGATCTTATACTTTCAAGCAATTCTGATTTACGATACGAAACTTGTTGAAACGATATTGAATTGTTATGAATATGAATATTTGAGAATCATGTTTAATGACTGTTTAAATAAGTTGAACTACATTCAACTTATCGTGAATCAAAATTTAAAGTATCATTTTACGTAGTGTAAAACAACTTGCCAAGTACATTTTAGTATGGGCATAGAGTTTAGAAATAGAAATTATAAGAAAATTTATTATAATTAAATATGTATATACACTTTTTTTTACAGATAGGGTGTACCAATACGTCATTAGATAGTATATTTAGCAAAATGGGAACAGCAGTGTAGAATTTTGAAACAAAATTTTCAAATATTTTAACATTTATGAATACTACTATAGTTAACTTCTTCTTATTTATATGGCTAGTATAGCTTGTTTCATAATACATTTGCTGGTCCTATATGTCTTATTAAATAGTTTTTTATCAGAATGATATACATTCCAACCGTTTTGTACTATACCTAAGAATTTCCAAGTACCCAAATCATACAAATCTTTAGTGTTGTGCATTTTCCGAAAGATAGTATAATATCTCTATAAAATATCTCTATTAACAATTAGTGTTAATACTGCATTTTAGTGATACCTGAAATTGAATAGGATATTTACAAACACGTTACGAAACGCACAAATATCTCTGATACTTTTAACGCACAAATAATGTAAATACACAGTCTTAACTACTTTTATTAGATTATTACATAGATAAATATTTTTATAATACATTACAAATGATGCACGGGATTTCCCTTTGAAACATATTGAATTTTTATAAACTTTGCACGATGTATTGGTACATCACAGTTAACAGAAGCACATTCCACTAAATTAATGTCCATTCTCTTTCCTTTTCTCCAGGGAGACGTGTTGAGAAACAATCTGTTGACTCGCTACTTTGGAAAATCATTCATACAAAAGCCGGAGAATGTAGAAATTGGAGTCTCCCATACTGCTCCAGTTACTCATGGACCAGGGGGTACAAATAAATCCATAATAAACAATTATTTTGTTTACTATGAGAACATACACATTTAACGAATGTTTAATTCTCCGCAGCCAAGCTTCTAAGCCGTGCAGGCAGGACACTACATGAAATACAGAGTCATCTTGATCGCGAGGGCGCATCAGACTTGGTGGTAGAGTTAGTAATTAAAAGTGTACATTCCCCAAGCATATTTGTGGAAGCTATAGAACTTGGTATTGCATTATTGGAGGGTGGAAATCCTATTATACAGAAAAGCGTGTTTAACAAACTGATGGGTGGTGATTTGAGCCAGTCGTTTTTCAAAGTATGTATTCAAGTATTCTCAGGATAACTTTGAATAGTAGAAATATTAGCTCATTCTGCATTTCTTTGTTTTGGCAGTTTTTTTTATTTATAAGCGACTCTTGAAATTTTCCAGGTATTTTATGACAAAATGAAGGACTCCCAACAAGAAATAAAATCCACCGTAACAGTCAATACATCTGATATCGCAGCCAAGGCTCATGAAGACAAGGAGCAGAACAAAGAAATGGAGAAGATCTCAAGGAAACATACAACAGGTATAATAAAATAATGCTGTAGTTGCTCACATTTAGATTTATTCGCGTCGATTTCTTTTTCCCGTACAGGAAAACCTAACGGAATTGTGATAACAGATGAATTACGGGAGGAATTGAATCAGGCTGCGTCGTCAACAGTACAAGCTTATGCAAATGTTCGAAATCTTGCTCCCGGTGAGGATGCAACAACCAATGCGGCACTAGGTAGTGCATTGGAGGATATGATTGCTGAGAAGCTGGAAAGACATCGTAGCGGAACAACAGGCTCAGAAAGAGATGAAGGTCAATTAAGTACGAAGGTTCTAGTAATGCAACCAATTTTACGGTTTCTGCAATTGTTGTGTGAGAATCATAATCGTGATTTGCAGGTCAGGCTCTAATTCTTTAATACACGTTTCAGTATTGTACGAACTGCTGCATAAATAATGTCTTCATTGTTGTAGAATTTCCTTCGCAATCAAAATAACAAGACAAATTTTAATCTGGTGTCAGAGACGCTCATGTTCTTGGATTGCATTTGTGGTTCGACCACTGGAGGGTTGGGCTTATTAGGATTATATATCAACGAACACAATGTTGCGTTAATTAATCAAACTCTGGAGACTTTGACTGAGTATTGCCAGGGACCATGTCATGATAATCAAAACTGTATTGCTACTCACGAGTCGAATGGACTAGACATAATAACTGCCTTGATCTTGAATGATATTAATCCTTTGGGAAAGACTAGAATGGATTTGGTGTTAGAATTGAAGAATAATGCCAGTAAATTATTACTAGCTATAATGGAGAGTAGAGGGGACAGCGAGAATGCGGAGAGAATTTTGTATAATATGAACCCTAAGCAGTTAGTGGATGTTGCATGTCGAGCATTCCATCAGGAATCGTTAGATGATGATGGTGATGTTGACGATTCATCGACCGATGGGGAGGAAGGAGTATCGCCGAAAGAAGTAATTATTTTTCGAAGATTTTTTACTCGATATAAATCTGATTGATTTTGGTGCTGATGAGATTGTCTTGCAGGTTGGACACAATATTTATATTTTATGTCATCAATTAGCACAACATAACAAAGAACTAGCTTCAATGTTAAAACCATCCGAGCAAAATAATGCGGATCCGAAGATTAATAAAGCGCTTCAATATTATGCAACTCATACAGCTCAAATTGAGGTATGACAATTTTCTGTATTTATACCGTGTGTATATGTATACATATTATAATACATACATACATATTAACATAATGACATACTACTACGTGAATATTTTTCAGATTGTTAGACACGATCGAACCTTGGAACAGATTGTGTTTCCAATTCCAGAAATCTGTGAACTTATTACTATGGACACAAAGATCAAAGTCTTACATACCACAGAGCGGGATGATCAAGGATCTAAAGTTTCGGACTTCTTTGAAAGAACAGAGGATATGTTCAATGAAATGAAATGGCAGAAGAAACTTAGAGGTGAACCATATTAGGATGTATATATATTTCAATTATTTATTTTAATTTATGTAATGCGTTTAACAAGGAGTTTTCGCTTCAGGTCAACCAGTGTTATTTTGGATGAGCAGTTACATGTCATTATGGAGTAATATTCTATTCAATTGTGCAGTACTTATAAATCTTATTGTAGCTTTCTTTTATCCATTTATGAAAACTGTGCCTAGTAAGAATTTAAAATATTCATGTTTAAAAATTATTGGATTTCTAACATTTTACAAATATATATATATTTTCATTATAGTGCTAAGTTCACACTTATCTGGTCTCATTTGGACGGTAATGCTTTCGTCTGCTGTTATTGTGATCACATTACCAAGAGAATCTGGTATACGTACGTTAGTAGCTTCAACAATATTACGATTGATTTTCTCTATAGGGCCAGAACCAACGTTATGGTTACTCGGTTTTGTTACGGTAATTAAAATATAGACTATAATATAAATTTATACTCCAAGTATAAATATTTATATATATACAATATACATTTATTGTTTAACTTATATGTTTCAGGTTGTATTGAAAGTTGTACATCTTATAAGTATTATAGGTAATCAGGGCACTTTAACAAAGAGCATAGAGCAAATAGTGACAAATGTCGAAATTTTGTATCATATATCGTATCTTATATTTTGTGTTCTTGGGATTTGTATGCATCCGTTTTTCTACTCTGTTTTAGTAAGTATATACGTGCGGAAATAAGACTTATCCTCCAAAGTAAAAGTTTATGAATATATTTTTCTTCTTTCAGCTCTTCGATGTAGTTTACCGTGAAGAAACGTTGCTCAATGTAATAAGATCTGTTACGAGAAATGGAAGATCTATTATACTCACCGCTGTATTGGCATTAATTCTAGTTTATATGTTCTCCATTATTGGTTTCATGTTCTTTAAAGACGACTTCTTAGTAACAGTCGATGGCACTCTTGTTTGTAAGTACATACTCAATATTATGGTACAATCCAGATAAATCAAAGCATGTACAATGTTGTTCTATGATTTTCAGCATCGTATACGGAAGGTAGCGTAGGAACATGTAATGTTGCGGAGAATGATAAATGCGAGGCAACTGAAACGGTCTCCCAATACATTCGAGAAGGTACTTTAATTCTATATTGTTAGGCTACTTTTATATGATTTTGTTTTCCAAATGTCGTTTGCATGTAATCGCAAAAATTTCCACGATTACGCAGTGAATGAAAAAGACAGCCAGGGAGAAGTAATTAATGCCGGCGGAGAGTTTAAAGAACGGGCATGCGATTCTTTGGTAATGTGCATTGTCACAACTTTGAATCAAGGTTTACGAAATGGCGGTGGTATTGGCGATATTTTACGAGCACCTTCCAGTATTGTAAGTGCAGGAGTATTAATTGTGACAAGTATGCTGTATAATATGTGTATACTATTTTGATTTTAGGAGCCGTTGTTCGTTGCTAGGGTCGTATACGATTTACTGTTCTTCTTCATCGTAATAATCATTGTTCTGAATCTCATTTTTGGTGTTATCATTGATACTTTCGCTGATCTCAGATCAGAGAAACAACAGAAGGAATTGATATTGAAGAACACTTGTTTCATATGCGGTAAGTGTTGTTTCATAGTGTTAAAAATATTTTTGCGACATGAATATCGAGGCTGAGTATTCGAACGTCTCCTTTTATATAGGTTTGAATAGATCATCTTTCGACAACAAGACAGTGTCATTCGAGGAACACGTGAAACACGAGCACAATATGTGGCATTATTTGTATTTCATTGTTCTGGTGAAAGTAAAAGATCCCACAGAATTCACAGGACCCGAGTCGTACGTCTACGCCATGGTGAAGGTAATAGTCCATAGAGCTTAAAAAAAATGAGCTGTTCTTTAACTTTTAAGCTCTGTGTACTTTTTACAGGACCGAAATCTGGACTGGTTCCCGAGATTGAGGGCGAAATCATTGGCAGCGGACGAGGGAGAAGGGGAACAAGTAGAATTAAGAAGTTTACAGTCACACTTAGAGTCTACGCAACAGTTAGTGAAATGTTTATCTCAGCAACTCACCGAGCTTCGTGATCAGGTAAATCAGTTTTGTTTCACGAAATAAAACTATATTCATTAGCATGTACATAATGATGTGTCGATTAGATGACGGAGCAACGAAAACAAAAGCAGCGGCAAGGCCTTTTGAATACTGCATCTGCATTAATACACAATGTACCCACGTAAGCATAGGTTGTGTTCAACATTTCATCTAATTTTTAATTATTCATGAATCTCAATTTGATACTCTGTAATGATATTTGATGCATACGTTTTTGTGTGTTCTTAAGAAGCATTTAAAGACACAGTGAAATAACTTTTGGGGTAACACGAAGAAGCATTTGTGCGGTTTTGTTCCTACTTTTAAAGAAAACGATTCGTTTAACATACTATCATTAAAATCCACCACATACAATATTAACTTTATTTGTTGAAAATATTGTGCGTTGCATTGCTTGATCAAATTTGATGTGTTGTCGACACTAAATCGATTATTAATAATTCGTTTGTTTTATAAAACGAAATGTACAAGTGTTGATTAACCGAAACGATTTCTGTTAATTGAATGTACGTGTTACTTAACAGTTAACGAGCGTGAAGAATTTATTATTTTAAATAGAAGAGTAGAATGATGATTTTTATTGTTATTTGAATAAATATCCAGAGGCGTGCATGGGAGTAGGAGTTTATAAATTAACATATCTAGAATTCGTGTTGAGATTTTCACGTTTTTGCGACCTGTTTGACAGGTTTCTAAGAATGTTACTGTTTTTATCCATGAGATGGATATGTATAATAAATATCGAACATTTTATTTTATACATTAGCAAACATGTGTTTTCTTGGTTGTGTTTATAGATGTTTAAGCTTGTAAAATAGAAATCGTTTTAACATATTTCACTTGTTGATTATGTAATTATCTTTTTCCTGAAATAACCAGTCTGTGAAGTACATTTTTAAATTCATTCAATAGTAAATTAAGAAACGTTCATAAATATTTTCAATTTCATGTAAACATGGACATCCTTCGCATTAATTACCAAGTTACGCACAGATTTTTAGATCGCGGGCGTAAGAATTCCATTATAAGTTAACAAAGGAAATTGAACATCGAAAGTTTTTTCATTAAATCGAAGGAAAGGGTTCTTTTTGACGTTAAAGCATTTAATAAAATTAACACAAAATTAAATATAGTAAAGTGTTATTTACATTGTTTTACGAATTACTAGACAGATTTATCTCGTGCTTGCGGAAGCAATAGATCGAACGACCGATAACTTGTTAAATGTTAAACTGTTCCACAATTATCTATTTTCCTGAAACTGAGTGCCAATAAGTGATCGTCCAATTACCGTGTAACTGATCCCTACAACGTTACTCATAGATATTTCTAGGGAATTAATGTTAATCAGTATCATTGTTTAGTTCTATTCGTATAAATGTAAATTAACCCTCGAACAGCAGACCGTCTAGCAGCAACACTGGTGGTCGATGTTGGGTCGTTTATGATTCGTCCTCAGATTTGCATAATTGTACTTTGAAACTAGTTTCTCTACCAAATTGGTCCCTTATTACACCACTAACGGAATATTTAAATGACACTAGTACAGAATACTTGGATAAAAAAAAATTAACAAAAAAGAAATACATTTTCTTTACTCGCTATCTGCACAATGCAAAGATAAAATATTACATTCTTGTAGTGCATGAAATTTACAAATATAGCTTTTACATATTGTAGATTTTATTACAAACTTATTATTTTCAGTATATAATTCATTTTCTAAGGCCTCAAGAAATGTCATTATTTTCAACTTCATAGAATTATGGCTTTCCCACAGAGGATTTTTTGTGAGACATCAGTAATGCATTGTTCGCGCTGAGCTTGGAAGAATAAATTACTTAAATACATACTGTATGTATAGAATCGACTATCTGGCTGTACATAATAAGAGACGATTCAAAAATGACCTGACATCGACCCGGCGAGGGTTAGAGAACACGATTAATGTAAACAATGATGAAATCGTTATTACGCAGGGTGTGCAATATTGAGTTAGGTCGTCGATTGATTTTGATTAATTTTCCATTAAGACTTTCGCTTGGATAAGATCCAACATCCGACTGTGTCTATAAAATTTATATATATATACATACATGTATACGAATATATCGTACGTTGATAATTTTTTTAAATTAGTAAAATTGTTAGTTATACTGTACATACATTTTGTTCAATGTTAACCATTTCCTGTTACTACTCGTACGTGTTAAGAATGTAATTATTTAATCCGGAACTGTTGTATCATTTTGTGCCAACTTCATAAAATCTTAGCAAGATGTTGTTTAAGATCTTTATTATGTACACCTGAATATCGAACGCAAACGTGTTACCTGTAGATGTACGTGTTTCATATTCCGAATACAAGATGTATAAATATAGGGATGTAGATTGTATTAAAACTTGTATGTGAATAAATTGTCCTTTTTTAAATAAAACGAATCTCTTGTTCAATTTTTTCGAGAAAGTTTTAGTATTCAACTAATTCACACATTAATTGACGAGTTTCAGTATTGGCTCCGGCACATTTGGGAGGGTCGCTTGGTCTTTTGTACGTGACAATACATTTTGGCCTAAGGGGCTACCTGTATGAGTTTGGATACTATGCCTATTCAGATTTGATTGTTTTATCACACAGTGGCCAAAAGTAACAGAATTTTTGTACATGATTCCGCTTAACATGTTAATTGAAAAAATTCTATGTTAATATACAGGAGTGAATTACATTTGATTAGATGGAGTTTGGAATTGTAGTAGGAATTGGAATGAAAGTAGTGATCGGTTCAACGAACAACGCATTTCTACCATTTTATTGTATTTCATTCAAATAATTGGAAGAATTTTTTTGAATAAGAATTAATTGGAAGGAATTTCTAATGGTATTTGTATAAGTTTAATAATAAATTATTTTAGTCATTCATTAATTTAACGTAATAATATATTGCATGGGCAGTATAACTGTATAATGTAATACTTATTCATTAATTATTAAGAATAAACTGTTTTTTTTTAAATATAAGTTGGAATGGAATTGAAATGAACGTAGTGTGAATGATCGTTTGTGTGCCCACTAAACAGTGATGTGAAGAATGACGAACGTAATTGGGTTTCGTTTCATTTTATTCGTACTTTATATGAAACAATTGACTATTTATTGTGACTTACATATACGCGGCTAGTACATACATGTAACATGTATTTCTCCTTCTTTAGTTAGACATGTCTTGTGCAAAACCGGTACATTCGTTTAAGGAACAAACCGTATTATAATCGTTGTGGATCATACATCGTCGAAACAATGCGCGAAAGAAATAGCTCCGCGTTCGAAGTAATTCGAGAAACAGTTCACCGATTTGGAACACAATTCACTGAAATCACATGTCCTTGGGTGACGACAGTATACAATTATTAAAAGACGTGCGACTTTTCGATTGGTTTTTTTTGTTCTTTTCCTTCTTTTTTCATAGCGCGTCACCTCCGTTAGTACGGTGCAATTGATTACATCGTGACTTTCATTTCTGTTTCGACGAGGTTGCGGAGAAGTAGCTCGCGAACATTTCGAGCTGCTTATTATACAAACTTTAATATCTTTAACTTCCGACGCAGTGAAACTCCGATCGTTCGTGGCAATCGTTTGATCATTACCAGCCTTCTTACTAGATATAAATTACAATTTGGGGAATAGTCAGTCTTTCTATTCACTAATACAAATTAATTTTATAATTTCTTGTGGATAAACAAAATTGATAGTAAAAATTATGCTTACTGAGAATATTACGTAAGTCCAAAAAGCCGATGACAGTTGTAACAAAGATTGTCTTAATAGAAAAACAATCTTTCTGGCAAGAATTTAAGAACGTATGGCCAAGAGAAGCATGAAGGATTGAGAATAATAACACTGTTACTATCGAAGGTTCGTAATGATTTAGTCAATCCCGTGTCACACGAGATTATAACGTATGTATGCGTCCCTCTCAACAGGCATTAAAGTCTCTCAACATAACTGCGTTACTCTACAGCAAACTATACGAGGCTTAACACGTCGACTGTTACAGTGTCATTAATCATTCAACTTTTAACCAGTAAAATTTTCAGCCTTGTAAATGTAACTTGTAGTACTGCGATGATCTAAATAATCAGTGTATACTAACATATACAGTAGTATTTCAACAGGATATTATCTGCATAGTAAAAATTCGGACAGTCAACGTGTTAACAAAGAGTTCTGCCTCAATCTCCATAACTTCAGTTTATATAATACTGTTCAACTCATGAAATAAGAATGATAATATGTATATCTACATTCAAAAAGTTCGTACAATCTCGCTTGAGAAGACAAAGTTCCGAGATTTCTTTGTAACGTCCCAAGGCTTAGTAACAAAAAGGATTCATTTTAAGAATGATTTATCCGCAAAATTATTCAAGAAGAATCTTATCTAAACTGAATTTATGACGATAGAGGAATTATTCTTTACCAAATCCTCATTCTATGCAATTATTATACAATATAAAAGGAACGCATCGAAACAATGGCATAATTCAACATTTCGTCCGAAAGAAGCATTTGGAACGGAGATCGTCTCTAACATGGTATATATATATATACACAAATAACAGCGACAGTCGTGTTATAAAATTACAGAAATCGATGGAAACTTTCCCATCGACGGATGGTACTTCGAGTAGCTTATGTAATTCGATCAGTTCGTTTCGTCGTTAATTCAGTGTTGCTCGAGTCGATACGCACATCAAACATTCACGTTTCTAGTTCTTACTTTCGGCTTAGGCTAACAATCAGTCGCGGTTACCGGAAGCTTAATCGAAATGTCTTCCTTGTAGTGCGAAATATTCTTGTTCTCTGTTTAACCCGTTTCGTGTAACAATTTTTATCTTGTTCCTTTCTCTCCGTCTCTCTTTCTCCCGCCTCTGGTTTTTTTTCTTTAATAAATAACGAGCGAACGTTTCTTTCGCGGAACGAAGAGACTCCGTTGGTCTTCCGGAAGCACGCGGTAACAATTAGTCGAGAAGCGCCTCGGGCACTCGAAGCTCGTTCGTTAAAATACAATCTGTCTCCACCTTCACGGGATCGCGCCTCGTTACAATAAATTATCGCACAATTTACAATGAGTTTCGACGACTTAACGGTATAGCTCGTGAATACACTGTACAAATCCTACATTTTTCCCTGACCCATGTATGTACAAGTACTATATATCGTGTGTATAATAATAACTTCTTACACGTTTAATTTGGCAATTTGCGTGAGAGAGAGAGGTGACGACGTGTGTGATTTTTCTCGCTACTTCAAATCCGTGCATCGCGTTTTTTCTTGCTTTTCCCTTTTCTCTTCGATTTTACCCGCTATAATTCGTATTTATATGCGCGCCGCCCGCGCCGGTTGGAACGCACCGAAAGAGATTGCTCGGAATCCGTCTGCCGCGGTTTGTGCGTGCTTACTCTTTTTTTTAACTTTATCGTTTTTAGGAGAAAAGAAATAAAAAGGAAGATCACAATCGAAACTAGCGATTAAAGTAAAATTATTGAGGTCGCTGAAAGGAATCGACCGAATCGAATTCTTGGGTTTCACTGAAATTTTCGAGAGATGATTTTATGAAAACGATTTCAACGTAAGCAATTTCAGTTGTTTTATCTTATTAAAAAATTGCAAATATTAGGAGGAAGGTTTAATTAGTGTTCTTTAAGGTCAATTGTTTTTTAAAGTTTGGGAAATGGAAAGGATTTACCCTTTAATACCGAAGAATTCTATTTGGAATGTACAGTCTTTGTAGTTTCGGATTATTTATGTATAAATATACAAAAGTTGTAAACAATTTTTCACTATTTCTTAATAAATCATACAATAAGGGTAGTATTACTGTTGAAAGGTAGAAGAAAGAGGAACGTTTATTTGGTTAAGGCAGAAAGGGGACAAGAAAAATAAAATTGGGAAGTTTATGAGACTCCTCCGCGGTAGTAGGGTATTAAAATAATTGTTGTCCTCTTGGGTTGTACATCCTTGTTTTTAGGAAGATTGTCGCGATTCCCGAGATGGCAGACAGATCTACGCGTTTCCTTGCAGACGTTCCATCCGGCGTGTAGATTTTCTGTATATGCATACGTATGTATAATATGTACATGCTCTATTAGACTCTTAAAACTAAAACGAGTGGTATACACCGAGTGATTCGTAGTATATATATATCTCTTCTCGATTTTATCTGTAATTTAGATATTTATATATTTATATGTATGTATACAGTTCGATTAGAGCATTGAATCGCGAAATTCGAGTTGTCGCCGAACCAATGTCGTTTCCATTTTATAGATGTCGTGATTCTTTTAATGAGAAATGTATATCAACGATCGCCTGCGATTTCAATCGCGTATTTAGGGTAGTAAAATTTCCACGATCGAAAAAAATCCTTCGGAGGTCTGAATGGAATCATTCTGGAATTTTTATTTTCCATTGGTGTTTGATGCTTGTGTTTGAAGATTAAGACAGGAATATAATTAAGATGTTCCACTCTATTTTTATTGTATCCACAATGATCCTCAATTCGACCGGAAATAATATTAGAAAAAGTCAGATACAGTTCAGAATTGTTTAGCTAATATACTAAAACGTTTAACAAAGGAAATTGTTTTTCAATCTGAAACATTGCACAGTGTTCTTTTGGTAAAAAGAATATCACAAAAAATTTACGTATTCCTTTATTAAACAAGGAATGTTGATAATCACAATTGCGTACACACGGCGTAGGCGTAATAATTCAAAAGCAACCTGTTGTCCGCATTATGGATACCATTTGTAATCGATTTTATGATTATCGAGGTTTCGTCAGGACCGAATTCACCGATTACTCGGCCTCCCAAGCGTTTAAGTCCCAGTCCATCGAATTTTCAAGCAAATTCAATTCGCCTTAACGACGAATATCACGGAAACACGAACATCGATACGTTACCGGGACCGTTCTATGTACACACGTAATACAAATCCTGGGCTCGTTCGTATAGTTTGTTTACGATTGAACGGGAACGTGTACTGACACAATGCGTGGTGTTCGTTCACTCAACAACCGGCTGCGTAAGTGATTAACAACGTCGCGAGAACTAGAATTTGCGTTCCACGCGGATCACTTCCGGTCGAGGAGCTGAGCACGTGATTCGGCGCCGGCGATGGCCCGCTTTTGTGGGTATTCGCGATCACCGTCTGACTCCGCCATTTCATCGTGTACTGCGGTGCGGTCCTTCCTAAAGCTTGCAATCTGCAAAGAAATTAGGAATAGTCAGTAATAGTAAATAATAGTTAGCAATATTCATGAATAGTAATAGTCACTAATAGTCGCTAATAGCCACAGTTTATTGTTATTCCTTAATCTTTTATGAAAAAGGTAGATCATGCATTTGTTTGTCGACTTGATCTACTGATGGTTATCGCCTAATATTCGGGACTAACATGTAAAAGCGACTCCGAACAGAAAGAAATATAAAAAATAATAGAATTAAAAATAAAAATGTAAGGAATTTTTATTATTATTTGACTGCGGATGTTTATGCATTTAGGGGTTGAATAAAGGGAGAATACATTTCCAATTGGAATTTGGATGCATTTCTATCAAAATAGAGCTATTGATGAAGAAAATACTATATGTACTTGTACTATAATAATTCCCGAAGCAATCGATCTGAACTTATTTTCCGACTCACAATTTTTCACAATCGCGTCGCCGAACATTTTCAATGGATACCGTCCTGTAACCGTCTGCGACTGTCTCGAGTGATCGGAATCGACGGTACCGGCATAAAAAACGAGAAACGTGATCGCCACGCGATTGGTTTCGTTCCGAGTCCAAAACAAATCGTATCTCCGGTGGATCGATTTTTAAGTGTGGCGCGTCGTTCCTTTACGAAGCGAAAGCAGCGTCTTATAGATTGCCGTCCATAATTCAGACCGCGGTGTCATAATCCTCTGTTCGAAAGTGTCGCGAAACTGTCGTTAGCCGGGTTCGGCGGAGATCTACGTCCAAGTACCGTCAACTTCCGGTCTAATCGGTCTTGGAAGAAACTCACCTAACCACCACGGTGTTCGTTTTCCACGGTAGGGTGAAATTTTTGTGCGTGTCCCTCGAGCAGAATGTGCGCAATCTCTGCCCGGCCGGGTCGCCGTTTTTGCTGTACTCGTGTATCGTCAGATTCCAGGCGGTGCAGGGACCTGCGACGAGAGGGGAGGAAAAAAACAGAAAAGAACTCTTAGTGGATGTCGTGACCGAGTTTGAATTTTTCAGACGGTGAGAAGTGCCTCGAAAATTTGACGCTTTAATTGAATATATCATCTGCTTAGACCAAGAAAATGGTATTTTATAAATCGTTTCCCGAGTTCTTAACTGTTCTGAAGCCATTTTTGAAACAAATTTGGTTTATCAATCTACGCGCTTCTCATTGGTCCGAAGAATACAAATTCACCACAAAAGAAAGAAAATTTAACTGAGAAAACAACAAATATTCTTTTAAGTCCTAACTTTGAAACTTTGAAGGTCTTTTTATGTTTTAAATTTATTTTGATAATTAGAGAGAATTTGGTTAAATATTGTAAGAAATAGCTATTCAGTAGATGATATTATAGTGTGTTTGATTATTTCACTACTTTCCTGCTTCTATAATATTAAACTTCGTAAACTTTAAACTCAGTTTACTCAGTTTAGATACTAGTAGAGATAGAACAATTAAGAACCAGCGCGATGAAATGTCTGATATCGTTGGACTTTATCAATCACACGTAATCTAATGAGAGAGATGTAGTTTAAATTGAGTGTGAATTTATTTTAATGCTCCGCAAGGATCATTTCTTAGGTCAGAAAAAGGATGCACTTTGGATTTTATTTTTAAGAAAGTTATAAAATCTATTGCGATCGTAAATGAATTTTATATGCAGTGTGACATACCAGGTGATATGTCCGTGGAAATTAAATTACCATGTAGGAAGCTGTATGTTGATGGAAAGAGTAAATTTATCAAGCTTGTACATATTTTCATTCGATTTTTCGACGTACAAGATGGTTAAACAATGCAGTGTATTTTCTACTGAAAGACGTCGACAGGGCGTGTTTATAGACAGGGAATACTGTATACGATATTCGTGTGATAAAGTAGAAAATAAGTGAATAACAAAAATTATGTGGAAATAAGTATAGGATATCAAAAGAATTTTTTTTAAATGCTTCCTTTTGAATTCTCCTCCAATGGAGACCATGTCAAAACAACGGATTCTCGGTGTGAAAGTTTTGTCAATAGAGGATGATCCGAAACAAAGGTCCAAACACGGTTTCATACTATACGTTTCAGACCCACTGACAATCCAACCAATATCAATTGTTCGATTCTCGATGATTGAGGCAACGTCGATAGTCGGGTCCATCTTTCCCCGCGCGTCAAATGTATCCGCGACAATTAATTGCGAAACGAGCTCCCTTAATTGGTTGTTCGGGGACACGTATGGCATTCCACTCTTGACCCGACACGATACATGAAAAAAAAAAAAAAAACGTACGTTCGACAATCGATAACGATTCGACAAATTCATTTCTCGTTGTTCCCACGCCCCCTCCCTCCGCTTTGTCATTATTCCCGTTGCAATATTTCAATGTTTACCGAATGCCGCTTTAGAAAATTTGACAGCGGGCCAACTGTATGCTCTTGCTTCGCCGAATAACAATCTCCCTCGGAATTATTGTTACGCTTTTATTATTTATAGGACAGATATTGAATTCCCGGTTTTATAAAATCGATGTATGAATGGATAATGGAAAATACGTGTATGCCTCACGACATTGTTCGCTATAAGCTCGTTTAGGTGTCGTGATTTTTCATTTCGACTGTCATTCCGAACAGTATCCAAAACACTGTCATCACACCGTTATTTTTTTGGATACAATATCGAAATATTTTATTGTGCAATTGAGTGGACGTACAGTCGCACGGAAATTAAATGAATGATCTCTTTAGACTGTTTGAATTTTAGAACAACGATAAACTTCGTATTTATCTGGGACAAGACATCCTTCTAGTCTCTTTTGACATTTATTGGATATTCACTATCGTCTTTAGTATTTATTTTAATTGCCATTTTGGCGAAATATTATATTGAATACGGTTGGTTGTTACTTTACTTTCCGAGGCGATTGTATAAAAAGGTGAACCGTTTAATCCAGAAAATTACTAGCCCATAGCGTATACGTGTCACAGTACTATTTAGGTGCGACAAAATTAACCCTTAACTTGGGGACATACGATAGATGTCGGACTCTAGTGGAGGGATTGCGAAGCAGGACACATCACGAGTCACGAGTCGTGATTCCCGACATATTTGTGTGTGAAGAAAATGATAGATACGTGCTCTCATTCGCACATTTCACCCACCACTGCCATATGCCTGCGTGCTGCACGGTGTTGCCCGTTAGTGAGTTTGGCGGGCGCTGAGTTGCCCATCACTGCGATAGACGGACAGTCTGGATTCTTTCTTGTGAGTGCTACAGTCACGTGACCGATACTGTTCTGGCACAAAAACAATTCAATCTCAGAAAGAGATTTTTCCAAAAGTTCAATCAGAATTCTTGTTCATACGCAGAAGAAGATCCTTCACCTTTCAATCTCTGAGAAACGTCGCGACGGTGGGTGTCACAGTTAGCGGCTAGAGCCAGGAACGAAGTAAGAGAAAAACGGCAGCTGGAGGAATGGGAAACAGAGGTCGAATGGTGTGTGAAAGCCATTTTACGGGGGGTTGGTCCTCCGCAACAGCTACGGTTCTCCGCGTTTGGTCGGTTGTTGTTCCACGATGAGAATGCGTCGAGAAGGAAGGGAGGGAATAGAGAGGAGCCGAAAAGGAAGCGGCAGAAAGAGGAAATCGAGGGAAAAAGGGAAGGCTCCGTCACTGAAGGCTCGGACGACGAGACCAGGTTGTCCTTGTCCTGGCAAATCCGATGGTCCCTTTAATCTCGAGACTTGCCTCTATTCGTTTTCGAGGCCACGGTTTCCCACGAAAGAGTCCGTGTTTCTCCTTTTCTTGGATCGGTCTGTTTACCGCTCCCTCCTAACCCTTCTTCGCCCTTCTTTCATTCGGTCATGCTGCTTTGCGACCATACTCAATGGCGCGGATAGAAATTCCGGGTGAGAGTGGAATCGGAGGGAATTCAACGGTCCAGCTAAGATCGAGACAAAGTATCGGTTCACCTTTGACTCGTCTGCTGAACTAACGGCGAACGGGAAAAGTTTTCCTCGCGAAATTGCGATTAAAGGATTCGCTGGGCTCGTTGAACGGGATTCTTTCTTTCTTCTTTTTTTTTTGTATCGAATTTGGATCGAGCGTGGTTAATTACGGGGTCTTTTCTGATTGAAACGAATCACGAAGTATTCAGGATATTATAACCGTCGCGAACAGCTTTTCAGTAGGATCTTTAAAGGGTGTTTCCTTTTTCTTTTATGTTATTTTATTTTGTTGATGGATTTTGTATTCCGAAGTGGATATTTGTTTATTGATGGAATAATTGACGAAGAAAGAAGTGTCGTTGACTGATTTATCCTATATTTCGGTGTCACCACGGGATTCGTTGACAATTTGTACAGTCTACCATTGAATTTCCTAGTACCAACAACACTTTGTCTGTCACGTCACCTAAATATGGGTGACACGTACATTGCAAAGAGGCTGGATTATTTAAATACTGTTACAAAATTTTGCGTAATGTTATTATCGCAGTACGATTTAAAAAGAAAACAAAATATAGTGTGTCTGACTACGTAAGGCCTTTTTCACTGCGGCCGTCACGTGTTAAACTCAACAGTAAAAGTATTAATCGTCTTGACGGTGACTAATACTGTCAATGTATGAACAACATTTCCCCGAACGGTTTATATTTTCTATAACATCATCGACAATATTTCAATATTACGACATAATGGTTATAGTAAAATCATCTTCAGTAGATCTTTTATCAATTATAACAGCATAAAAATTGTTAATATTTTCACACGCACTTATTATCTTCTACGTTCCACATATTCTCGTTACGAAAAACTGATTACCATTTACTTCAGTTTCGTAAAGTCGTATTTATTCTAATGGTTATGTTCACCACTTGCACTTTCTTCTGATTGCAATTGTATATCATGCACAAAACTTTTTCGTTGGTGTTTAATTTTTAGACTGCAACGATTTCGCTTATAATAGAAATGTGAATCGAGGTGTATCAGAAAAAAAAAAAAACGAATAGAATGCTTACGGCTCTGCGTGGAATTCACTTCGATAGTGAGCTGTCGATCCGCCGTGGAGTGCAAGATCCACGTGCATCTCTGCTGATAATACTGATTGAGCTTTAATCCGGTGGAGGCCAGGTCACCGCTGTTGACCTCGCCTTCCGGCTCCGTCGTCGTGTAATCGCCGCAGTAAGTGTCGTTGATAAACTCGTAAGCCGCGCTGAAATTGAGGCCTGCCTTCGAGAATCTCGACCATTCGATGTACACCGGTGTCCAACTACGGATGCCCACGGGTAGCCAGTCCTGCACGGATAGATCGCAGATAAGAGAGAACGTCCTTTCGGTGTATCAAACGGTTATTACCATTTATTTCTGTTCCAACTAGGAAGCTAAACCTGTACACTTAGATCTTACAACGATGGTTCGCAAGACTCGAAAAATTTCAAGTCTTTTGTCCGAAAAGCAGCGAAGCAGACAGCACTCGAAAGGTTAGGTATAGATATTAATTTAACAGTAAAATGAGAACTTTGGTAACCCAACCTAAAAACGGAAGTACGCGAAAGTTTCGAGCGTGTATAAAGATTTCCAGAAAGTTAATTTTGTATCGATCGTTTGGAAAGTAGCGAAGCAAGCAGCGCTCGAAGGGTTAGATGCAGAAATGAATATAGCAATAACGAAACGGAAACTTTGGTAACCTAACCTGAAAATGAAAACAAGTACGAAAGAAATTAGAGCATGCGCACAAAGATTCGCGGAAAGTTACTTTTTAATTAGTCATTTGAATAAAGCAGTTAGTATTCAGAGGGTTAAGTATATAAATTAATGTAACAAAAACGAAATAAGAACCTCGGTAACTTAACCTACAAATGAAAACACGCGAAAAATTCGAGCGCGTGTACAAAGAGTTCGTGGAAAGTTCATTTCATCAAATCGAACCCATCGCAACATATCTCACCCCCTGAAGCGTTTGGTATATTGCTCAGCTGGAGATCTCTATCTCTGTCTATCGATCCTCGCTCTATAGCCCCATCCCCTGCCCTGAAATCCAACGGAAAAACAATTTCTCTACTTTTCGACTGCTCTTGTTCTGGACTTGCCACCGTGCAAACGGATTATTTGTTTTATTCACAAGCCGGTGAAATCGTTCGAAGTAATTCCAGGCACCCGCAGGGGTTGATGGAATAGGTGTTGAATAGAACGGTGGGAGCTTTCAGTGTCCGGCCAATACAATCGGCGAGTGCCGCGTTTGTCCGTGAATGAAACTTGAATGAAACGGTGCCAGTCGGACGTGAGCGGCAGAAATAAAACCGGCGGGAAAAGAGGAAACGGGCGTCGAACGTGGACCGAGCGCGCTGGGTGCTTGCGGAGCGTTTCTCGAATTAAACGATCATGGTCATCGATGCGACGCATCCGGCGTTCCACGGGCGTTTGGTCATTCGTTGCAGCTGCAACATCCTTATCAGAGATTGGAGGCTTTCACGGCATTAGTATCAGTGGAAAACAAGTCCACAAGGACACGACTTATCTTCGTTCTGTGCACTAGCCTTCGAACGATTCAAGGATTCTGTTTTTAACACTAGAATTCCCGAACCCGTCAAAATGACGGATTTCAGATGTTTTATTTAACAATTACTGAAATATTACAGACACTTTTATTACGAAACGGAAAACAAGCGAGCCACGTTATTTCGTTGGTTCGAAGATGCGAAACAGTCCTTCTGTCGTGGAGAAGCTCGGTGTTTCTCTCACGTAGAGGGAGGTAACGATTACTTTGAGTCTCGCAATCAGCTTACCTGATAATTTCCGCAGAGGCAAGTGACGATGTGACCGGTTTCAGAGACCAGCAGAAGGTGGTCCATGTTCTCCAGGGACTCGCTGCTGACACAGTGACATCCACTGTCCCCGCACTTGGTTTCGCATGGGTTGTTCTGCTCCGAGCTGCTCTCCACCTACGAACAGAGGAAGGACACGTTCACTGTTTCGTGATCCAGCGTTCCCATGTCGTACAGCGGAGGTAATCCTTGGAGATACTGACAGTAATTCCGTGAAATTACTTCCGCAATATTCTTTGTATCGACTCGATATATTCCGTATCAAATGAAAATTCACCTCTATAACAATAGCTTTCAATCCTCAAAAAGCTTTACTATCCCTTGAATTGCATTTAATCGAAGTTAAAATATGATCGAGAAAATATGATCATCTACTGATAGATTGTAAATACACGTTAATCAGTGATGTCGAATTAATTCACACGTTTTTTTTAGTAAAAAGCATAATTAATAGACTAGGGTTGTTTATGCAAATATCGATTTTTGTTAACTAATTTGTAAAGCTTGTAGTCAAATAGGAATTTGTTTGTATTATTAAGGTTCCTTTATAATACACAAGGTAAACTTGATTAAACAGTTAACTGTATTAAGATTTAGACAATCCTGTACGTATAAAAAAAACTATTAGAAGTTTCAAAAGAAATTTCGTTCACTGAAAAAAACATTTCCAAAAAATGACCATTTTTCTGAGCTTCACAGTGGCAAGACTTCTTAACGTGTGGTTTCATGATTCTCGATTTCAAGCGTCGTTCGGTACGCGACATTCCTTTTAATAAACATCGACAGACACGCTTCACCCATAATCGTTCCTTCGCTCGGTCGGACAAGTATCGATCGTAGGACTTACGCGGATGATGACCGACTGATTACGCGCCGGAATGAAGTGCTGCCTGCATTTTATTGGGCCGTCCATGGCGAACAACCGGTGAGGCTCCGGATGCACTACGGAACCGTTCGTCCGTGACGTCAATCCGTAATATTCGACGTTGCACACGCTGGCCGGTTGTTGAGTGCCGCCCTCGCGTTCTGAAATATCGACAACGGCGTCTGTACGATTTGAATTATAGCCGGGAGGGATTAAAAAGTATTTTCGATAGCGAACGTCTAGCCGGGACGACGGATAATATCGGCCAAACGTAAGTGACTGCAATGGAAATTTATCGGGCATCGAGCACCTTGTTCACTGCGTTCGATGTCCGAAGTCGACCCCCCGACTTACCTAAGGTGCATTCAAATTTGAATGTTTTATGCTGAATTGGTGAGTGGACTGTGATCAGATTTTTCGGAAAGATTGTAGTTTGGTGAAGCGATAGCAGCCAGAAATTGAAATTAATAGTTGTAATGTGGAGAAGGCTATCGTAGACAGAATCGAATGTTGTAGTTGTTTAATTATTCAACGGCGGAATAAAAGAATAGATATTAGGGTGTGGCAGAAAGTTCTGATTTTTTCTTTAGATGCTTATAATACTCACAGAGTGGAGTACAAGAGGTCTAGTTAACATAGGTCCTAAAATTAATCCTTTCGGTGAAAAATACAGAAGCTTTCTTTCAGATTTGTTACAGATGTTTGATATGTCTTCCTTTCATTTCAATACAAAATTCATATCTGCGGATCAGTTAGTATTAGTATCTGGTGTTGTCATACAACATTCAATTAATATATGTATTCCTGAACCAATTTTTTTCTTCTATTCAATATGCCGTGAAGTGACTTGCGACATCGAACGCTTATAAATAGAAAAATTACTCTTACACCAAAAAGGATTTATTTTGTGACCCATATTGATTAAACATTTTTTACTTCCCTCGGTGAGTACTATAAGCCCCTAAAATCTCGGTTCCTTTTGTGAACATCTTGTATACTAGATAGCTACAGAATTTTAGAAGAAAAATTTCATATTCTCTGCCACGTCGTAATTATAAACTGGATTTTATTCTCTCTAAATAATATTCTTACAGTCGATTCTCAGGGTCTACAAGTCTTTTACATCTGATCTGTAAAGAAAACCAATACACAGAATTTATACAGCAACCTAATGTTGTCATATATTCGTAATATTTCTCCTTACAACATATATTCTCGTACATACGCAAAATATCCTCGATACAATTGACAACAATTCTTATATTCTATATCAGCGGTGGGCAAAGTTGGCTCCCGGGAGCTAAAACTTGTCCCCACCACCGTCCACCGTGGAGTGACAGAGACAAGAGTCCGAGTTTCTTTATTTCTACGAAGGTACACGGTGCAAAAGAAACGTTGGAAGGGGAAACAGGCGCGTGAGGTGCTCCTACATTGTCATATTAAATCCATGCAATTGCCGCAAAAGTGTTAGAGATTCACGATATATGGAAATGAAAGTGTTCAAGACACACAAGCCCCGAGAGATCCATTCAGAAATAAAGTTCGTAATATTTCTCGGGGCGCGTGGAAATTCATCGTGCAGCGACATCGTTGTCGCTGGTCGACGAGACGCTGTTGAAATTACTTAGCGGTGGAATTTTCAGTTGCGCGAGCGATACGTCAAACGCGAGCTCGTAACGCCGAGAGCTCGACGACACGCGCTTTTACCTGGCTAACCACAATTCCGGGCGTCGACGGGAGGCACGAATAAACGCGGGCGTCGATCGTAGAGCCGTTTCGCGAGGCGGAAACGCGTTTAATAAACGGGAAAACAGGGGAGAGACTCGCGAATTTCGCGACTCGAGAGGCGGCGCTGAAGAGTCGAGGGAGCAATAGATGGTTTGATCAGTTTAGCTAAAGAGAATCAAAAATATTATATGGCATTTCAGGAAATTGTTTATATTAATTATATTTCTGGGTTAAAAACGTAAGCACACTGGGCACCTAATTCTTAGCAATAGAATCAAATACAGTTTAATTTGTCCAATTTTGTTTCGCCCAGAGTTTGATTCTAATTTATTTCTGCCGGTCCGTCACGCAGTGGTGGTCGCTATTATTACGAAACTCTTTGCCACGAAAGCGAAATTTTTACGTCTTCCACGTGGAAATTCCGCATGGTTATTCCGGGTGGACAGTAGTTGGGGGACGGGTTCGTGACTTCTGTCTGTAGGGGAATCGGTCTCTTTCGCTTTCTGGCCGGATCACATAAAATTTTATGCGTCAGATAGATTGTCTGCGGGTAAAGCGTCGTCGAACCGACTGAGGGAATTCCATCGGGTCGGGATACGTACGTTCCTGTACTCGATGATAATACCAGGCTGTCCTTAAAGGAATATTCAATTAATGGAAGAGCGAAACCGATGCTCGTATAATACGTCCATCCAATGTATAAATGCATGACGCGGTTGATCGATCGACGAGAACTACTTTCGTTACAACTTGTGCGGTCGGTTGTGTCATATTGTTCGTTTGAAACTTTTCTGAGCACTTATCAAAATTGCCTGTTGATAACTGGAGTATGGAACGGTTCCGTGGTTTATCATTTTGATCGTCCCTCTGGTGGAGTTTGTGATCTGGGGACTAGACTAATACGGATTATCACCGTTCAAAAGGATTTATTCAGTACTAAACACTTGGAATCAGATTACAGTCACGGTAATTGTGGAACTATTAAGGTTGCGTCTAATTACAAGTGTATTTAACACTAGAACTACCGACGATAAACGCATACCTGTTTCGAATGGTCGATGAACATGACAAACTTTTGAAAATTTACAAATTTATAAATTGTATAATTTCTTCACTTTCGTATTGTAATAAACGTTGCGAAAAATCTGAGGAAATGTATTGTTATACCATTTTAATCGTCGTTGTAAGAGTGTACTGGCAAGTCATCTGGACTTGCTTGGTAGTTCTACTGTTAAACTAGTGTTTAAGGGTCTATTTAAATTGTGACTTTATTTTTTTCTGTCGTATCCCTTTAAAGATACAATTTTAATATCTTTAAAGATAAAACTACGGTAGTGGAATTCCGGCCACTGTATATAATAATACATAACCGATAGTAATTTCTTCATTTCATAATTCAAGTGACTTTGTACCATTCTTATTTTATATTTGAAAAATCTGTACTATAGTGTTCAATACTTTGGCCTGTTTATATCGGACTACATCAAACGATGACTGTCGACGTGAATGGGAGGCAGCCATTTGTTTCCCATCGATTAAACCAATACGACTCTCAGATCGTCAGTTCCAATGAAAAAAGTTTTTATGTTTGACGAAACATAATTTTACGGGTTCCCAACGGATTGAAGCCGAGGGGCACGGTAGTGGTAGGTACGTTCGAATGAAATTATCCGGCAAACGTGTATAGAACCGATGGTCGTTTATATTCCTCCCCGAGCAGTTTCATTTACCTATATAGAGCGTCCATCAAGCAGGAATTGATAGCGCCGATTTATCGTTTATCACCGTGAAACAAGCAACCAGGTGAAAAATCATTCTTACGGCGACGCGCGGCCGCCGTTACTGATAAACGATGAAAATCATAGGCAGATTTAATAATATTTCCGTTTGTGTATCCGTGCCCCGTGACACTGTTAATCGTACGGGAAGTTCGATAAACCGTTCAGAAGTTTCACGTGAAATACAGAATTTAAACAGCATTTAGAAGCTTGGGAAATTGCGAAATAATCTGGGAAAATTGAATCGCGACAATTTTCTCGCGAATTCGGCACGCACGACACGCTTGTTTCTCGGTGGGGTGGGTCCATTCACACTGTGGACTTGTGTATCATGCTGAAACTTGATTTAATACATGTTATCTTTGAGCTGCATTAAGTGGCGTGCAATTAAGGCTAAGAAATTGAGAATAATATTGTAATTAGGAACCTTTATGGAAAAATTGAAAAACGACAATAGTGATAATTCTGAATTTCTTTTCGATTCAATGAATAGTTCCAAACGTTTACTAATGTGATTTATAAATATTTATTCATAAATACCACGTATCAGCCTATTATATTTGTCATATACATGAATAAGTGCTAGTTCGCAGGACAGATATCGTTGTAACTAATTATGTTGCGGGATCTCAGTTTATCAATTTGGAGATTGTCGAAGAGGGCAAAAATCACCGTCATTGCGGAGTGTATGTATAATTATGGATCACTCTAGTAAATGATAGTTACGAACATACTTGCAGTAAAATCTCGATTACAGTGGGTCAGTTTAAGATAGGTTTACAAATTCTTCGATGACATAATAAGATTTTTTTTCCTTTACTCTATTTTGGGTTGTAGTAAGCTTTGAAATAATGTGTTCTGGTCACTATGCATTTCTCTGTATGCTAAATATATTTACTATAAGAGACTCGAGAGGGTACAATTATTTTTGTGTATTCACTCTGTGATAGCTGAACAGTTTTAATCAAGTGTTAATTTTTCGATAGTTGAAAAGGGACTGACAGTGACGAGCTCCAGACTTGGGGCTACTAATAGCGGGTTGACAGCTCTATATTCATCCGCGACAAGTGTATATTAATGTCGTTTGCCTGAATGTCACTTAATGTAACTCAATCATCTCGAAGTAACACGGGAGAAGTTTTCAGATGTGAAATGTATTTGTCAGAGGAAGCTATTCTAAAGATAACGAGCATTAATAAGAGAAAAAGAGTATACGTTGACGGTAAAGATTCACTGTCCTTCAGAAACAATTCTGGGATGATTTCTAACACAAAATAACACAGTCTAAATTTGTTCTTCAGACATTTAAGAATATTAAATAAAAAGTGTTCATTATAATCGAGATTATACTGCATTATCATAACAGTGGTTCAAATTCGTACAACGGACAGAAACTCGGAAGATTTTGTTTGTAAGTAAATTTTAGCAAAAGAAGTTACCCGTAAGATTCACTCTGTAGACATTTACGATTTTTCTACGTCCGTTGCGCTTTCCCAATCCGGAAAATGGAGCCGGTCTTATCGATCGCGCTCGACACGCGTACACCACGTGTAAACGTAATAACGTCGACGAACGCCGGGGGACATCCGTCGATCAATGTCAAATCGATGCTGGCAGTTTGTCGCCGGGCTGACTCCCCCGTCCGTGTCATTTGTCGCTTTTTAATGCGCTGTGATTTTTCCGGTCGCGCCATTGCACCAATGACATCGCGCTTCGTCGCGCGAAATGATGCTGCGATATTGCCTGTTAGTTGACGGCTGATGATACACAATCGTTCGGACACACTGTTGCGGCCGTTTACGAACGATTCGTGTGACTGTTCGAACGCAAGGAATCGTCTTTTGGCGCAGAAAGTCCTTGGAACTTTTGCGATGCCACCTTTGCACCGGAATACAGTGAATCCTCGATGAATGCACGAAGAGTCTTCGGCACTTAACATTAAATATTTTATAAACTACTGTCTATATGCGGTTGAAACAAATATTTTTGGTTTTAAAATTCAAAGCTGTGTTCAACCTCATTAAAAAGCCAGCGTTACACCTGGGGACTTCTCCTTGAAGTGCCGAGGAGCCTTAGAACACTCATCGAGAATTTATTGTAATTTCACCTAAATTTCTAAATATTCAAAAGTTTTTCAAGTTTATCCACCGATCGAAGCAAATATACGTTTATCCTCGGTTCTAGTGTTAAGCTAGTAAGTTGTTTGCACGTGAACTGCAGCTGTCCAACCAAAATCCACACGGACACAATCAGAGATGAATAATAACGATTTAAAGTAACTTACCGCGCAGGAAACATAAATCGGATGTAATATAGATAACTACACATATTATAACCCAATCGAATGTAATCATCGTTCGATAAGTAACTAAGAAAACCAAGAATCATTAGAAGATCCAGTCGAATATAAACGAGTTAATTATCTTCCCTTGTTCAATGGGTTAAAGCAATTAAAGAAACTGTTACAGATCCCAATAAAAAACCATTCCGAGGTAATTCAATTTCCATGTACTCTCTTTCTTCTCTGACCCAGATCATAAGGAGTCGCGTGAAATTTTACGACAGTGTTTTTTAATCCTCTCGCGATACGATCCGGGCTATATAATACTTCCAGAAGACTGGAACGATCGTTGAAAGGTGAGGACAATCGGGCCAATAAAGGATTCATCGGGGATCGTTCGTTGAATTTCGGATCTTTTTTGGCGAAAGCACGGCGACACACTGTAAATGCACCTTATGGATAGTTCCGCATTCTTGGCGATCGGCCAATCGAGTTTCAGGATTACCGCAGGGACGCGATCTATATTCATCCGATTAAGGGCTTCAGCATCGGTACGTTCGCTACCAGTCCCAGGTAATTAGTCGGGCGTAATTAGCAAGTGAGCAAGCAAGGCATACGGACGCGGAAAGCTCGAACGAAGAATCGGAGCCAAAATAATTGGCGGATCGCGGTGACCGCACTTGATTTTATTCGTTACCCCGTTATCGATCCCGTTTTAGTCCCAGTAAATTCTCGTCGATAGAGGAGGGACCCTGTGTCCACCGTACAATCGATCATAAATTCGTCCTGATCATACTTTAATTAAATTTCTCATCGACTTGTTTTTAATTAACACGTTTACTGCCAGGTCAGCCTTGGAAAAACCGCAGGTGTTTTTTAACAAAATGGAAAATATGCAATTCGACATCTGTTACAGGTAGACTTCGGATTTTATGCATTTATAGAATATTTGATAGTCTGAAATTCAAGACATTAATAAGCTTCAGAAAGTTTATTCAGATTTCCTTTTTATTTCGAATCTACTGGAACCCTTAACAATGTTTATTATATTTGCGTTCAGTTTCGAGAAATGAATCCATAAAATTCTGTATCTGCATAAACATCCGTGGTCCAGTTATAGAGTTTTGTCAAATTCATATTATTTAACATTCTACTGAAAATATTCGTTCTTAGCTGAAGACCAAAATAAACCTAACCTATATCTGACCAATATGGCAAGGAAAATGTTTATCCACCTTTACAGGAGAGGTACAGACAATTCAGAGAGAGTTTGTTATCGTGAACCGATACGATACAATTGTTATAATCATGCATGAATTTTATCTCGTGTTACAACGTCAAAAAGAGGATTGTGGAATCAATCGTGGCTCGAATAACATGCATTGTCACAGGATATTTAATTTCGACTACCGATTTACATTAACATGCGAACTGTATACGAACGAGCTTCATTATGTTATTATTATTCCCACAATCAGTATAACTGATTACGTGTTTCTGTCAAGCAATCTGCATAGTCGTCTAATTAAATATTTATTGAATAGGGACCCGCGATGAGATATCAATGCGTGGAATGGCACGTATTTTTGTCTTCTAGGCATATTTCCGGTCGTGTTCAAAATAGTAACTGCACTTTCTAACTATACAGGGTGGATCGTTAAAAATTACCACCTCGAATATCACTAAAACTACGGAACGAGAGAAAAATTTGTCAACTATAACTTATATAATGTAATCCTCTGGGCATAATAATTTTCTCGCAGACCAACTGTTAGTCCACAAAATTTTTCTCTTACTTCCAAAAATCATTATGACCCACCCCACGTTACAGACCGTTCGATTTATCTTCAAATTCAATCGAAAGGTAATTCCAGAATCTCGATAGATTCGAAACTAATTTACCGAGGGAAGAAGGGTGAAGGTTAACAGAATAAAGGAAAAATACGGAAAACGGCCTAGATTCCAAGCATTATTTCACGCTCGGGCGTGTTCGAAGACGTAGGAGCCACGGGGATATTATTGGAAACACGAATGTAACAGGATAAAAGTTGTATGGTCGGGTAAGCTGTTCGAGAGATGACGAAAATAGTCGGCTTACCGTTGTGGAAGTAATAAGAGACGTCCATGTATTCCTCGTCGGCGGGGTTATTCGAGGCTCGTCTCAGCACGACCGTCATATTTCTGCTATTAGACGAGTACCTTTTCGGCTCGACGTACCTGGAACGAGAAAAGATTGGAAATAAAAGGAAGAAAAAAACGAAAATAGAATATCTCGTTTTACGCCTTAGACCGACGAGAACAGTAATTCGTAAGCTGCGCCCGCGGAACGGAGCGAAGATTCGAAGGCGTGCCCTCGAGGGAAACACGTCGTTCCCGTGGGAACGGGTATAAATCACATACGTACTATCAGAAACGTCGTAAAGAACGCGACTCTATCTTCCATCGGATACCGGGGAATGATATTCGCCGGTTTCAGCGCGACCGAAGTACGCGTAATTTAGGAACGAACGGCTGCTTCTCGAGTATTTCGCTCGGGAATAGTTCAATCGAAAGCTTCGTCTACGAGGTAAATGTTTGTAGAATAATTTCGACACGTGTTAAATCTGCAGGTTATTGTTCTGTCTTTGGTCGGCGAGTGACACCAGTCAAACGCGAGGTTATGGCCAAGCATAACAATATACTGCGTGGCGTAACTGTAAAACCATCCTAACATTTTTGATCCTTATGTATTTTGGTTACAATGAAAACGTACCACTTTTTTCTCTAGGGAATATAACCTATCCTTTTATGGAGAAACATTATTTCTCAACACGATTCTCAGCATATTTGGTTCGTTTTTATTTTAACCACAATAAGAGGAATTGCAGATTTTAAGGTGGTTTCATAGTTATGCCACCGAAGTGTAGTTCCTACATATATTCAATATTTCAAATATTGAATTACTAAAATTAAAGCGGTTGTGTAAATTCTTAAATAAATTAGGTAAGCAACAGTTATTTGTCTTTATTATTTTCCCTCTCACTAACTATGGTATCGTTCTGTCATCTTTAAAAAAGTTAATCATATGAAATGGTACTCAGACTAATCAAAAGAATTGTGTTTTGGATTTTTAGATATAATGTCCGTATCTTATCGTTTGCTATAAAAATTTATATCGGTCACTGTGGGAAATTCCATTTAATTTATCAGCCTAGTTATTGATGATGCTGATGTTACCCGGTAGTAAGTAAATAAGACTAGAATTGATGAAGATTGACTTAGGTCTAACTGTGATTGATTGGGGTTTCCTTCTTCTGTGATTGGTACAGGTTGATTGACATTCAGTCGATACTCGCAGCTTCGTCTGACTACCATTGTGAAGCCTTGAAACATGGTACACAGATAATCCCTCTTTTCCTGGAGCCAAAAGAAACATATTGATGCAATAGTTAAATAGCCTCCTTATATAATACCTCCAGTAAATTTATATACTTCAGTTCTTATTCCTATATCCTCGTAGCACAATTTCAGGACCTTTTGTCAAAACCCAACTCATGTATTAACTAAAGCCTGGAGGTTTCACTGGAGCATCGATCGCTCGATCACAGCGCGAGAACGCCATCTCCAAGCAGGCTTCATCTGGGCGAACAATAGGTGGCGCGCGTGGAACGTTTGTTCCCGCCATTATGAATAATGTTTGCTTCGATTTGTACCTCGAAGACCGTGAATAGAATCCACAGGGATTTCCCGGCGTAGGACACGCTGTGCGCAAAAGTGAAGTAACCGGGTTTCTCTCCTCACCCCTCCAGGACCTCTGCTCCTCATCTTTTCCTTTATCGCTAAGTCGAACCGCCCGAAGGAAGTTTCCCAGGTGAATTATGAACCGGGCGCCTTTATGTCAAAGAGCACACCGCACCATACTTGACAAGCTCACGTGTGCGCAGCCTGGCGAAGTTGTGCAAGTGGCGGCACAAAGCGCGATGTAAATTTTCCACGTCGTTCACTTCCATTTCGCTCGGCAGCCAAGTTGCAAATGGACGTCCTGGGAACACTGTCTCTCGCGATAACCACGCCGCCTGAAACCCTCGATGAGACCGTGCACGGTGATAAGTCAATGTTTGCCGGCTGGTTTTGTCCCCCGATAACGTCTTGCGATCGGCATTGGTCTGGGTTATTAATCGACCGAATAAATTAACACGGTGCTCGCCGAACGACGGGCTCGCTATCGTGGATGACGTCTTGAAGAATCCTTTGGTACTGGGATCTTGTGTCGAGCAATCGAAAGGTGAAATGAGATAATTTTAATTAATGGCTATGGGTAGACGCAGTTGGCTCTAGTTGGTTCTTCTTATAACTGATACGAACATGATTAATTTTGATTCCTCGAGAGGACTGTTTGATCTGCTTGATTAAGTAGTAACATTAATGTTATACGAAATGAATGGTTTGTGATAAGGTAGTAGAAGTAGAATAAGTTTTTCCACGCTAGTAGAATAGGTTGTCACTGGCCAGGTCAGTGGAATACGTCGCTAGTTATTAGATAAGTGGAATAAGACTTCGATTGTCAACAAGTGGATTGGACCGTTTATAGTTAGATAATAGAATAAGTTTTTAATGACCAGATTAGTATAATAGAATGTCAGTAGTTAGGTACGTAGAATAGTATGTTAGTTATGAGGTAAGTGGAATAGAATTTCGACTCAACAAGTGGCTTGAACCGTTTATGGTTAGACAAGTAGAATAAATTTTTGATGACCCATCAGTAGAATAGGTTGTCAGTGGTCAGGCAAATATAATACGTCGCTAATCATGAGATAAGTGAAATAGGACTTCGACTGTCAACAAGTGGAGTGGATTCTTTGTGGTCTGGTAAGTAGAATATGTGGTTACTAACTAAAGAAGCAGAATGTATCATTAACCTACCGGGGGTGGACGGTTTCAATACCGTGGGTGAATTTTAGTTCCTGTGTACCTTATAAATTGTATTTTCGAACAAATATCGTAGTGAATTGACTTTCTTTTTATTTGAATTAATAAAAATAATTACTAACTTAACTTGACCATCTGTTTCGTTGGATGAAGTTCTTGAAAATTCGGGTTAAAGGAACCCATTCATCCTCGTCTGAGGGTTAATCATATAGTAAGTGGAATAGGTCGTTATGAACCAGACCATGAGAATATTTTATCAATGTCCAAGGAAGTGAACTGAATTGTTTAAAACAAGTGAAACCGGTCATTAATGATCGGACAAATAGGGTAGATTTGGTAGAAGTGTAAAATCCACGAAAAAAAAAAACAGATAAAAAGCAGCAGACCGACATAAATAACGAGAGAAATTTTAAATAAAATTTTTAACGCGTTCACTCGTGTCTTCCGGTTCGAGTGGAGTCATCCGTAGGTCGGACATAATTTATGGCGCGAGTTGACATATAAAACGAGTGCGAGGAATCGTTCGGTAAAAAATGGAACGAGCACCACGCGAATTCAGCTTCACGCGGGAAGAGAAAAGTTCCGCGGGCCGCAACGGGCGAACCAGAGGAAAAGTTGAAAAGTATCCTCGTTGAACATTTTTTCATGGGCCGTACAGTTCGGTGTCGCGGTGCATAATGCTGGAACGAAACTCAATTTTCGCATGGGGCTGCTGTTGCACTATTAGCGGAGGTGTTCGAGGATCTAAAGTTTTGGTGAATGACATCGTTATCTCGGTACCGTCGCTAGATCCAATAATTTTCAGAATAACTTCACTGTTCGTCTTTGACATCTGCAGCAAGTAACAATATTCAATAATTCTTATAATATGATTTTGTCTTTGATTCTCTTTTTAACTAATCCTCGGGAATGAATTGGTTCCTTATTCATGTTTAAAGTGCAGATCATTATATGTTTACAAGGTGGTAGTTTAGCTCTACTAAACATTTTAGTAGAGTTCAACAAAGTTTCTATGAAGGTTAATAAAGAGTTGCTGCTTCATCTTAAAATCAATAAAAACCTTGATAGAGGATATAAATTCACAGGTCTTATATATAAACATTTACAACCTAATTTTCATCCTTTCCCATTTTACCTAATGTCTTTTTTATGTTTGTCAGTTTATAGATACAATGTAAGTGTTACTTGGCGCTTTTTAAGATCTGAAGAAATTTGATAAATTACAGAAGCGAGACCTCTGAGTAGTTTCATATAAATGGTTGTTCTGTCGCCTTTTCACGCTACTAACGATTTCTTTGTGCCCCTCGTTGTCTCGTGCTTCTCATATATTTTTCACATGGCAGAATGATCGTTAGAGTGGAATTATTCCTACCGAGAAATTAATACGATACAGTGAAGATAATAATGTGATGACGTGGTAACATAAAATCTTGACCTTGCGGTGTAAATTAAAGCGTGTTTAGATTCGAGAGACTTTCTTAATTGTAATATAATTTAAGCTAAATATATATCCCCATTTGCTTTTCCATTTACCTTACACTGAAGTGTTTTAGTGAAAGGTTAAACCGTTTATTTGATCGAACAACGATACCACTCCAAATCTTCCAGGGAATCGAACAGTACCATTATAGGGGTAGAAACGTTACGCTTTTATTTTGGTAGGAAACTTTTTGGGACGAAAGATCAAGCGACCTAGTTGGCTCGTCTTCAACTTTCATTCGTGGATTTCGGATATGCGGACGTCATGTGAGTACGAGAACGTGTGTACTTTTCCTGTGCAAATCAGGTCGGACGGTGAGAAAATAGTGAGCCGGTTATAGTGGATACCTTAGCTCGACGGACACGAATTATAACTGGTAAATTACGAATGACACCTTAATTAATCGATGATAAAAAACTAGGATGTTATCATCATTTAAAGCAATTTTTTTTATAAATACCTGCAAAGATTTTAGGTAAGTGTAAAAGTAAGTTTTGAAATATTGATGATAAGAAATTATACACTTAGTTTAAAATACAAGAGACATTCATAGAAAATGAAAATTTATTTGGTACTGTACTCGAATTTGATGCATGACTAATTGCAGATATGTAAGTACTATTTTACAGCAATTCTAATTGAAAGAAAATTTGTTAAAAACGTTGTTTTAACAAAGTTACAAAGACACTGAGAAACTCATTAATTATTATTATAATAAAATTCATGTTTCGTTGCCTTTTACGAAATATGTTCCGATGGAAAATGTGACGGGTACTTGCTCCATATTGTAATTAATATTCATAGAAGTAATGAAGGTAAAACGTAGTAA